TTACTAATATTGCTTCTCGTAATCGTTTTCATCATTATTTCATTTTTTTTTTTTTTTTTTTTTGAGGCCGCCATCCTTGTCAACCTTTGCTTATGATTGCGGTCTCCTGCACTTTTCCAACAGAATAGTTCGGATAATACTTTAAATTTATGATAATATGTTATGGTAATAATAAGTTTCGTTATTATATGTACATATACTATGTAAACAAACAAATTTGGCACGAAGAAATTATTATTTCTTTGTTCTTTGTTATTCAGTTATATTATATTTGGAAAAAATGCAGAAATAAAATAAAATAAAATCATTATGTGATGTACCTTTGATCTTTTCTTGATCTGATCTGGAGCAAACTCTTCAAGGAGGTGAGAGAGCATGATGCGGGGTGACGTCCACTTAGCCATGATCTCATGACCCGGTGTGACATTCGTGATGTTATCTACCTTGTCGGATAGGACGAGTTCTAGGGCAAGCGACATGGACTCTCGATTGATCTTGTCAGCCTGGAGGTCGTTCATGATCAGATGAGCTATCTCCATTATCCAATGCGAGCCTGCAAGTTGTGAATAGATTCATGGCATAGATCCTTGTCGTTTTAGTAAACTCATTAATTGTGAGCACCGTAGTATATTGGTGAAGGCTCGTGAAGGTCACTCGAGAGGTCTTGGGTTCGAGCCCTGTTAGGTGGTCACATCCAGGGGGGGGGGGGGGTTCACAGAACTTGTCATCAGTGACGAATGACAGTTTTGTTATAAGCTACTGAAATCCTTGCTGCTGATTGGTTATCAGCAGATTTGTCACTGAATTTTGTCATTTGTCATTGAAAAAAGGCTTTGTGAAACAGGACCAAAGTGTTATGTATAATAGTTATACTCACATTTGCCCTACTTCACAAGTGTAAATGGTAATGATGATTGCAGCGCCTGAAAGAAGTGCAATTATTTTGAGTGATGTGGCTACCCCCAAGTAAATAAGACCAAAGTATTATTATTTGTATCATCATAGAGAGAGAGAGACTCAACACTATATGTATATCATATATTGCGGGCGCTGCAATTATCATTACCTCAGTATTTCCAGGTATCCATTTACACTTAGGTGAAGTAGGGCAAATGTGAGCAAAATACATGTATGTAGGTAAATATTATGTGTATATATATATATATACATACATACATACACAATTACAAACTTATATGAAAATGTTCCAAAAGGGAATAAATCATATTGCTCCGGTTGTCTCATTTTCGCTTACTGGACGTATATAGCAGACGGCAATCGGCGGATTAGACGACACTTGGTAGTGAATTTGTATGTTAGATTGCTTTGCTAAATATAAAATACAAGAACTTTTTCACTATCTTTAAACTATCATTTATATCTGATAATTAAACAGTTATTAAAATAAACCTACTAAACTACATAATACAATGAAATACTTGCCTTAAAGTAGGGGAGTTTGATGTGGTGCACAATTGCAACCCTCTGAAAATAATCGAATAGTCCATGATGATCATGAATATTCATGTTTTTGCTTACCTCGGCAAAATGCTTGCCTATACTAAATCCAAAAAAATTACGGTGGGGGGTTGGCTAAAATGGACATAATGAATCGATCACAACTGATCTATGATAATTCATGCTTGTTATCATTCGTGTGCTTGACCTATAACCTTACAATCGCGTGTCAAATAGATGCGTCCAAAGTTCGACTTGTTTCACATGTGTTATATAGGCAATGGCGAGCTAGCGACCTATTTTAACCAAATTACGGTGGGTGAACTTTCAAAAGTCAATGGAACATGAGGGTTCCAATGAAAGAGCTAGTGTCAACGTACGTCGGGATGGATGTGCTTTTCTTTTAAACAAACAATTAATTTATAACCATTTTGGGGGTAAAAGTCAGAAGCCTAATATGTTAGGCTGTTGGACTCTGAAGATAGGGGGCGTTGTCAAATGAGACTATTCGTAGCCATATGAAAGGAATTCTGTCTAACATCCTTTGTTATTATTAATAAAGAAATATAGGCCTAGCAGTGAATTCTATTTTGCTACAGGCCAAAATGTTCATACTTTTATTTTTGTGTGGAATTGGCCCCTTTATTTTGGAATGAAACTGCGGTCAACCATCTCTTTTGCACGTTTAGCTTTTTTATGGTTCATATTAAATGAAAAGCACAGTAGTGCTGCTGGCAGTGCATATTATATCATCTTTAAAAATGTTGATTGGTTATTGAAAATTGAATTTTGTGTGATAATCACTTTTCCTCTAAAACAATGCTTTCAGATGTTTCATTCCATAATTATATTCATAAAAAAATTGAATATGTTATATTCATTACAATTTTGCACAGACTGTCTAGACTGATAACTTCACGGCGGTAAATACACCACCACTTTTGATATCTTTAATTTACATGATAACCGATAACGTCTTGCAAGCATTTCGAACTCACCTTTTGCAATGTGTGTTATAATACATTCTTCTTTTGTCATCAAGTTTATTAGCAAAGTAGTGGAAATATGTTAAAAATACCTGACTTCGGATATGTTATGACGTACACATCATCGGGCCTCGTTTCCCATGTATCCAACGACTCATAAATCTCGGGCATCGTCGTTTTGTACATTGTTACTCCTTTATATTCGTGCGTTTTACTAAACAAATCAATGGATGAAATATCTTCAGCAACCGCCTCTGATAAGATGTACTTAGTAGCCATGCTTGTCTCTAGTACACCTCCCAAAGAAATCCAGTATTTTCATCGGCAATCACGACTCCTCTTATTATATTTCTAATTTTTGAACAGCTACTTATCAGGTACACGAATCGCCTACTAAATGTCGACAGTTTGTGGAGTTATGTTCAATATATTCTCAGTGGTGACTTTGATCTAGGTGCCAAGTTCAAAGATCAGCTATGCGTGACATTTTCATGTCTTGGCGCGCGAACGCGCGGGCGAGGGTATGGCGTATAGTGTACGTTTCGAAATCGGGCGCCTGCATACGTGTATGCAATACACGTACACGTACTCTGCGAGGAGCTAGCCGAGGCCTCGAGGCGGTCGGCCAGTACGTAGTGTAGCAATTACTACCTTATTTTTCTTTTCTTTTTTCCCAGTCTGTCCCTGAAGCGTGACAAAAATGGTGACTATGCGTGGCAGCGTTTTTAGACCCTCGATGCGTGACCGTCACACATAATGCGTGATATTTGGTAGCTCTGATTCCCGGCCCCCCCCCCCCCCCACTCAGAGGTCGGAATGACCGCATGCGTGTTGCCAAAATGTCCGGTAAAGGGGTACTTTTCGTGCGACAAAGTCCGGCCCGAGATATGTAAAAAAAAGGGGTGTATTTGACTTTTCACCCGGAGATTTCTTTAAAAAGGGGGTGTTTTTCTTTTTCTCTCTCATCTCTTTGGACTCCTGAGAAATTATTCCGAATTTAGGGGGGTACATTGAGCATTTTTTCCTGATTTAGGGGGGTCTCCAAGGCAGGAAAACCCCGCGAAAAGCCCGCGAAAGGGGGGGGGGGGTTCGGAAATGTTGGCAGTCCTCAGATAGGGGGTGCTTTCAAAAAGAGGGTACGAGCATATGCGTACCCTAAATAACACTGAGTGGGGGGGGGGGGCTGGGCTCTGATTATGCACATTCAAATGGCATGATGAACTTTAGACGATCGGTCACGGTCATTAAAGACCTGGTATAGCATGTTTGCGAACCTTGGTCTCATAACCGACTTCATTGCGGTAGCACAAAAAAAGAATGAAGGTAAAGTTAAAACAAAGTTGAAGTTTAATTAGTTTTATATTTCGCTAAATTTTGTTCTTAAAACACCATAAAACTTGGAAGAACCTAAAGAAGAACCCTGTATTTATTTAATTCATAATTATTTTTAACAATGGGTAATCGTGCCCACCTTTTGTCTTAATATCAGCAGCTTCTGATATCGTACTGGTTAGGATGTGTTCATAATTCCTAACGGGTGACGACAAACACCATACAATATTCAGCTGATAAGATTATATTTATTGTTCAAGCTTGTAAAGCGAATAATGGACCTTGAATATTATAAAAGCTATGTGCTTAAGATAATACGAACTACTTCACGAATTCCAAGTTGAAGTTTTATTTCATTTTTTATAATTTCAAATTGCAATATTTCAATAAGATGATGATAATTTTCATGTGAAAGAAAGATGGAGTGTCATCAGCAAAGAGAACAATTTCAGAATATTAGACACATACAGAATATCATCCAAAAATATGTTCCCCTTTGCAATAACCAAAAATCATTAAAAAAACATCTGACAATTTTTTGTCCAAATACTGAAATAAAACATAACCATATTTTACACTATCCTGTTCCTCTGGCTTATTTCTTTATTCAATGTTTGTTCATATGGCTCCGTTTAGTCTCATTTCACAACGCCTCTATCGTCAGAGCATGGTCAGATTCAGCAGCCTAACATGACTAGCCTATGGACGTTTTTTTAAAAATCGTTAAAAATTCATTTTTTGTTTAAACGAAAAGCACATCCACCCCGACGTACGTTATCACTAGCTCTTTCATTGGAGCCCTTATGTCTCATTGACTTTTGAAAGTTCACCCACCGTAATTTTTCAAAATAGGTTGCAAGCTCGTCATTGCCTATAATACACATGTGAAACAAGTCTAACTTTGGACTCAGTTTACTAAGCGATTTGAAGATTATAGGTCGAGCACACGAAACATAAAAAGCATGAATTATCATAGATCACTTCTGCCTATTTCGTTTTGTCCATTTCATCCAACCCCCACCGTAATTTTTCCATTTAGTAAAAGCAAACATTTTGCCGAGTTTAGCAAAAACATGAATATTCATGAACGGTCAGACAATACAGCCTTTTAATACGTAACGTATAGTGAATGGGAATGTGCGATGATCCGTGTAGGAGGTAGAGGTCAGTGGTTTGTGCTGGCAATGTTCACGCGAGCGAAAATGAGACAATCGGAGCAATATGTATAATTTGTTTACATGTCTTTCAGTATTAAACAGAATACGTTGAACAAACCAAATGATAAATGTATACTTTTAGGGAACTTATTTTACAAGGCCTTTTGGCCTTATTTTAGTTCCCCTTTTCTCATTTTCGACTGGTAAATTTGGTCTCTTTTATACTGTGAACATGTATAATTGCACGTATTTAAAAAAAATATAATATTGTAATGATCTATTGTTTTTATATGAAGATGGAAACAAATGAACAAACGAAAATGAAAAAACATAACTTTCGTGAACAGGAATGTTAGTGGTTTAGAGGTTTGGAGCTTTATTCACTAGTAGGGCGTCGCTAGACCTTGGTGGGGATTGGGGGGGGGGGCAAATTATTTTACTTCAAGACAACTGGTACTCTCAAGCAATTTCAATTCAATTTTTCAATTCGATACATACTTGTATTCCTTTATTAAATCAAACTAAACATGTCATGAAATATATAATTATTTACAGTAAATGTATATATAGAAAGGAGACGAAAATACTATACCACCCTTCAAAAAATAGTAATTAAAAAAAGAAATTGTTGACAAGTCTCTAAGAATTTAAATTTTTTCACAGGAAATTGAGAAGGGGAGAGGATCCTGCTATAGGGCTAATCCCCATTGTGCCAAGCCACAATCCCCCCAGTGCCAGATTTATAACGAGATAATCGGATTAACGCGATGGTACTACCAATAGCGCGTGCAAAACACTAGGCACAGCCCAATGGGCATGAACAATAATTGCTATTACATATGCGTGCAATCATGCAAGAAGCAGAGTAACAGTAGCTTGCTCGCGTGTACAAAGCACCATAACAATAGCGTGCATGCAGCCTTATGGCAGGCTATGAGTTCAAACATAATTATCAGCAGCTTAGCTACGAGCATGATCGCAAAGAATAAAACTCAATCTAAGTGAATTTCAATAGCCATGTGCGTCACTTATTAAAACAATTGATGTGCGGAATAAAGTGACAATGACATTATCTGATTTTTATTTTTATTTATCAGCACAACAGGGTGACTGAAATCCCATTTATCTGAAGTCTATGCGATTTGAGTTTTGGTAAAGGAGTTTAGGATACTTTCATCAAAACGGTCATAATAGATTTTACCTTCGAAATATGTCTGTATAATGTATTTATAATTTAGTGCAGTGATTAAGATGTTAAACATGTGGCAACTGGTGTTACAACTCAAACTTGAATTCCAAACCGCTTCCTTCCATATTCTGTTGGTAAACCTTGTCAAAATATTCGTTTTCAGCCACGGTGAACTCGTCCTTCCACCCGCCAACTTTGCCTGGAATAGAAGCAGAAATCAAGAATCAAGAACCCCTCAGATAATATACAGGCATATAGTGCATATACGATGTGGTAAGGGCGGCTCCAGAATTGTGTACACGTAGCCAGGGGGGGGGGGGGCACGGGGGGCACGTGCCCCCAAAAATATTCCAAGATCGGTTGAAATTTTTTAGACCCCCTTTTTTTTACATCGATCGATTACATGTATGTGCCCCCCCCCCCCCCCCAAAAAAAAAAAAAAAAAAAAAAAAAGGAAAATCGTCATCTCAAAAGTTTGGGATATAAGTTGGGGTTTTGGAGTTGTATATTTGAGGTATGACACATGGTTTTAAATTATACCAATCACCTTAATAATAACTTTCTTGGCTAACGGATGAAGAGTATAAGGAAAATAACCCAAGTCGTTATTGGGTTCCGCCGGCCGTGTTGGCACTTTTTAGAGAGCGCATATGGGTGCGGCGTGTAAATAACTCGCAAGTCGCTATTATTTGAAGCGAGAGACGCGTATTTAAAGTTGCAAAATATCTTTAGAGACGTAGTTTTTTAAGCTAATGTTTTGAATAGGCCCTATCGTATTAAAACATGGAACTGTAATTTACAGAGCAAAATATTTGTTGATTATTGGCACACTTTAAAGGGAGTCATGGGTCCGTCAGGGGCCAGTTCCCACCCCTCCCCCTCCCCATAAATCCGGCCATGGTGAAAAGGGCTGGGGACGCACAACGACGTACTTTCGTGTTCAATGAAGGTGCAGCTCGTACATTTAATAAAACCTAATAAATAAAAACCTTAAATATACCCTTTCGAAGAAAAGGCAATTGTCCGAAGAGCCTTGTCATTGACCTTCCCGTGGCTCCCATTTTCTCCTCAAGTTGTTGGTAAGTTTTCTGCATGCCTTTCATCTCAGTCAGCTCAACAATCTTGTTTAAATTTTCATCCGAAAGAGGACGATCCAAGAAATCGGCTACGCGCTTGATGCTTCCTCTCAAGTCCTATACACAATAATAGTAAAATGAATGATAATGATAACAGTAATAAAATAAAATACTACTACTACTACTACTAATAACAATAATGGTAATAGCTAAACTACTACCACTACCACTAATAATAATGATAATAGTAATAAGTCTACCATTCCTACTAATAATGAAATAATTATGGGGTTTTTGCGGCGGGAGTGGGCGGGGGGGGGGGGGGGAGAGGGGTGGCGGGATTGTATCAATAACTGCTTTCATTATGTGTTATGGGTACCTGGTAATGCTGGATAAATAATTAATTAATATTGCAGGGCCCGCAAGAAGAGGATGTGGCTACCCTTGGTAAATAAGATCCTTTTTAATTGTTATACGATAGCTATCAAAGTCCCATGATCAACCAACTGAAACACTTAACGATACTTTAGTCAGTGAGTGTGTATTATAAGACTTGTTATCTTTCCCGTTGTTTTTCAATTTTGGGCAATATGGGTGTGTAGTGTCTGTGAGTGTATGGAAGTGAGTATTGACAATCTTGTTCCGATTTTTTCACCTTGTGGAAATCTTCGTATTTGCAGCAAAGTACATTAGGTTGATCTCTTAGAGCCCACCAACCTTTAACATGACGGAACCAACTTCCACCGATCACTGAAAAAAACACGAAAGACACAAACTAATTTGAACTCTTTTATGGACCCCGTAAATACGCATAATGCGACTTTTTTCAATGCGCCACACTTTTAAAGTGAATCCATGAGCAACGAGAAGTTCATTAAGGTGCGCTTTATAAAAAGAATCAGTAATTTGTCCTTAGTTATTGTGAAATTCTATGTTTCTAGAAATCGTAGTGAAACTCCTATCCGTCAATTTAAAAATCAAGATTTGCATTTGTTTCATTTTGTCCACCGAAATTGTTTACACGGGTATCGAAGTCGACTTGAATATTAATGTGTATTATTGACATTTGTTCGACCTAATTCTGCCATGATTCCAATTAAGTTTACATAGAACCAAGATAGGTAGAATAAATTCGCCTGGATCATTGAATTAAATGAATTCATAGCTCCTGAAAACAAAGTACTTACATCTGTTATGTCCCCCTCCAAAAAAAAAATTTAAAAAAAAAAAAAAAAAAAAAAAAAAATAATATATAAATAAATAAAATTTTAATTTTTTTATTTTAAAAATCATAAAATCTGAGAGAACAACATTTTATTCAAAAGACCCAGTACATTTCGTTTCGTTTGTGGATTCTCAAGAAATTTGAATTACAGTTCCCCCACATTTCAAGGAATATTTCTGCCCATGAGCGTACCAGAAATCTATGTGATTATGGTGATTATACATTTGCGACCTGCTTATTTATGAGGGACAGTGTCCATACACCAACAGTCGACTAATGATTTACTTCCCCCGAATAAAATCTCATATAATCTTAGCCAATTGCAGTTTTGTGAGCTTACTTTTTTCAGAAAGAAAGAGGCGCAGAAATCCTTTCCATCCTTCCATCTCATCTGGGAAGGTAGGACCAAGAAACTTGAAGTATGAGACTGCGGCATCCTTAGGGTTCCTTGAAAAGTAGATTACCTAATCAGAGTGAGAGAGAGAGAGGGATAATCTTTTTTCTACTTGTAAAAAAATGATGAAATTTTGAGAGTACTTAATGATCATTTCAGTAATTCTTTTGGCAAGAACTTAATCTACATTTGCCACTTTCCACTCAGAAGAAGAAATGGGTACCCATGCAGTAGGAAGATATTCCTAGAATGTTCCTGCGCCTCATCATGGTAGCCGTGATAAAGCTTGTACGTGCAATGATATGACTGCAACTTAGGGGGAAGTGTATACCCAGAACAAATCGTGTATCCGGACAGTTAATTTAAAACAGTAATTTGAAGAAGTTTACATGCAGTATTTCACAAATCTTTCAAATCTCATGTTAGACAACATTGTAAAGGACATATGTTTGGTCAGTGCTATTTGGTGCATATACTTTACGTGAAAGTCAAAGGCAAATGAGAAGACTTTAGTTTTGTTAAGCGTCCGCGGACAATCTGCACACACATACTCACGCGCACACGCACATGTACACCCACACGTCCAAATCTCGCTCGCATGCACACACATGCACGTACACACACAAATCATGATTCATTTAACAATATAAATATATATTCATTTCTTCTCGTATTTGTTTTTCCTCATTCGATGATGTACCTTTGACCTTTTCTTGATCTGATCTGGAGCAAACTCTTCTAGAAGGTGAGAGGCCATAATGCGGGGTGACCTCCACTTAGCCATGACCTCATGACCTGGTGTGACCTTCGTGACGTCATCTACCTTGTTGGACATGGCTTGGTCTAGGGCAAAAAGCATGGCCTCTCGATTGATCTTGTCAGCCTGGAGGTCGTTCATGATCAGATGAGCTATCTCCATAATCCAATGCGTGCCTGCAAGTTGTGAATAGATTCATGACATGATCATTGTCGTTTTAGTAAACTCACTGTAAGCACTGTAGTAAATATTGGTGAATTAGGCTCGTGACAGTCACTCGAGAGGTCTCGGGTCCTAGATGCTCTCACTTGATCTACTTCATCTAGGTGTAAATGGATACCTGGTAATACTGGGGTAATGTTAACCGCAGCGCCTGCAAGAAGAGCAATAATTTATACTGATGTGGCTACCCCTAAGTAAATAAGATTAAAGAATTGTTATTGTTATTATCATAGAGAGAGAATCAACACTATATAATAATGATAATAATATTCCGTTTATATATATATATATATCGCATAACACATTACAAAGTATGTCCCTATGCGCTTAGAAAAAAAAGCAAAGAGAAATATAGGGTACTGAATTCATTTTACTTCTTTACAACAATTGAAATAAATATGTTTTCAGGATGGACTTAAAATTATCTATTGTGTCAATTTTTCTAAGTGAGTTTGGGAGGCTATTCCGTAAAAGTTGGTCAGCATGGGAAAATGAACTTTCACCATATGTGTTTGTCAAAATAGGAGGAACAAAATATATATTCCTTTTACATGATCGAAGATTTCTTTCTGGTTTATATACAGTGAATAATTTATTTAAATGAGAGGAAGGTTATTCATAAAAACATTCATAAGCTAATAACAATATTTTAAATATATTGCGGGCGCTGCAATTATCATTAACCTAGTATAACAAAATACCCATTTACACCTAGGTGAAGTAGGGCAAATGTGAGCAAAGTACATATATTTATATGTAAACAGAACAGTTTTGAATCCATCTGGCCAGTTGCAGGCCACCTTTTGTTTGTCTGCATCAGAAACGGATGGAGGTTCTTTTTTTTTTAGGCCGTTTTTGTTTTTTTCACATTCATATACATACATACATATATACAAACAAATATGAAAATATTCCAAAAAGGGATACATCAAGTTTGTCTAATTTAGCACTTTCTCTGTTAAGATATCACTTTATTTTTTTTAATATGTGATAGGGATATTGCCTTACATCTTTTTATTATTTAAAACAAAAAAATCCAGCAATGAATTCTGTTTTACTATACGCTAACATTTTCATATTTTTATCTTTCGTGGATTTTGCCCCTTGATTTTGGAATGAAACTGCGGTCGACTGTCTGATTCTGCACCTTTAGCCCTTTCAACGATTCAAATTCAATGAAAAACACAATATTTCTGCTGGCAGTGCTTAACTTACCATCTTTTCCAATGTTTATCGGTTATTCCAAGAAACAAAGCTTATCTACAATGTGTTCGATTTCGGTTTATATGAAATATTTGATGTTTTAATGAAATAAATTTTTACAACTCAAACTGGAATTCAGTGCCCCTACCGTTCATGTTCTCTTTGTACACCTTGTCGAAATATTCGTTTTCAATCACGGTGAACTCTTCCTTCCAGATGTTTCATTCTAATAAGGGCTTCACCATAATATACTCGTAAAAATAATTTGAATATGTTAGATTTATTACTGGTAACTGCACGGCGGCAAATACAACAACATTTATATTTCTTTAATAAACATGATAACCTATAACGTCTCGAAAAATTGTTGTAAGGTCTTACAAGCAGTTTGAACATTGTGTTTCATAATACATTCTTCTTTTCTATCAAAAGTAGTGGAAATATCTTTGAAATACCTGACTTGGGAAATGTTATGAGGTACACGTCATCAGGCCTCGTTTCCCATGTATTCAGCGACTCATAAATCTCGGGCATCGACATTTCAAACATTGTTACTCCTTTATATTCGTGCGTTTTACTGAACAAATCAATGGATGAAATATCTTCAGCAGCCGCCTCTAACAGGATGGTATTGGCAGTAGCCATGTTTGTCTCTAGTACACCTCCCGAAAGAATCCAGTACTTTCATCCAATCAAGCCTACTCTTATTAATTTCTGAACAGCTACTTATCAGGTATACGAATCGTCTAAATGGCAACAGCTTCTGGAGTTCTGTTAAACTGTATGCTCATGATCAGTGGTGACTCCGAAAAGACTGAGCTTATGTACAGTGTAATGGCATGACGAACTTTAGACGGTCGTTCACGGTCAATAAATACGTATGAACAAATTTGACCCACATTCGGCCAAAAGATCAATGAGTCATTTTGTGTACCTCCCACATAGACGACGAACGTTCGAGTGCACTACAGTGTAACACCAAGGTACCGGACTCGTCGATTTTTATGAAATAGGGGTTTATCGTAGAAAGCTGGTGAGAATGTGAGTGACAACACCGCTGTGCGTGTGTGACTTGTCAATTTTCTCTCTCTCTCTCTGTCTCTCTCCCCTCTTCTTCTCCCGAAAAAAAGAAGAAAACAAATCAGGAAATTATATATGTTAGTCTTGTAGATGCAGATGCACATCACAATGCATATTAAGTTAATTGTCACACCTCCGTCTAAGATGGGCGGGATCACCCTGCAATATGAATACGCGATTCCTTCACTAGCAGATCGACCATGATTTAAATCTGCTCATGCAGCGAGTTCAGAGTGCCATTAATTTGCTAAATTTTAGGAAAACTAAAGAATCCAGTGTCTCGTGAGAGATTTAATCTAATCCCCACACACCTTTTTTCGTAAAAGATCGTCCATAATATCTAAATTCCCTTCAGTAAATTGCTGAAATCAACGTAAAATGTGTCTTTTCCATCGCCGGAGCAGAGTCAAATTTGGTGGTCCGAATACGAACGGCTGCGAGCATGGTGTGTAAGCCTCATTGTCCGCTGTCAAAAAAAAAATCGCTTACGCACTTGCATAATTTATGGAGGTCGATGCGTAAATTTATAAAAGCTATTTTCATTGGACTGAAATTGGCCCTACTTTCTCGACAACCAATCAAATTAGGTGTTACTTCAGACGACATGGGATTATATACTCTCTGTTTTGGCAGCCGAGCCTGAGACCACCCAATAACAAGAAGTACAGTAGTAGTTATTATCTCCTTTGATAAAGTGAAAAAGGCGAATTTTCCTGTAACCTCCATAGATATAAAATCACAAATTGAATGATTTTTGCCCATTTTTGAAGACGAAAAGTCCCTATTTTCCAGTATACAAATCAGTTGAAAATTGCTTTGTCACTGAACCATGACTGTACGCAGCGGGGGCTAGGGTAGGGGGCAGTTTCCATAAATTTAAAAAAACGCAGAAAATGCATTAAATTTTCAATAATAAAAAAAATCCTCTGGACGGCCATGCATTATGGCTCAAGGCATGGGCACACATAATTTGTTTTTATGTTAGGCACCGGGGTAAAATGCAATAAACTATTGAACATTTATTGCATTTTCTGTGTTTTTTTTTTTATTTATGGAAACTGCCCCCTACCCTAGCCCCCGCTGCGTATAGTCATGGTTCAGTGACAAAACAATGGCCTCGTAACTGTGAGGCCCCAGGATCAAAACCGTGTCGATATGCTATATTAGTGCCCTTTTGTGGGGCATTAATCCTCATTACTGTCATTTATGACTTGAGAACGTAGGTCCCCTAGTTAATAAGCATAGTAGCATACACATGCTTTAGCCGTTCCTCAAAACACACATTGGCAAGTTATTATTCAATAAAATCTGAAAATGTATACTATTATCTATATCTATTATTTTTAAATAATTTTTAAAATAATTCATCAAATTAGGGTAAAACTAAAATATTCCACCTTTATGAGCGACAGTGTATATATATATATATATATATATACTGCCTTATCCAATTTATATATATATATGTATATATATATATATAAAAGTACGAGCGCAAGGATACTCCCCTGTGGAATCCCATACACAGTTATATTCCGTTTTGGATTGAACATTATTGACGACTGTGTGCTGTTGACGATTGAAAAAAGTAGTTGTGTACCCCTTACACCATATTATGACCAATTTACTAAATGGAATACTATGATCCAAACAATAAAAAGGGCTTAGACTGGTCAAGGTATAAAGCAATGGTGGTTTGTTTGGAATCAAGAGCTACTGACACTTTGTGAATGCATTTGATTAGCGCAGAAGATGTGGAATGGTGTGGCATAAAGATCATCAACGTATTTGAATCTTCTGACTTGAGATGATCTAAGGGCTTCATTTACAACACCCAAGAATAAGAATGAACCAAGCCGTGCCTTGAAGTACACCCGTTTTGGTAGTTAGTGGGGGTGAGAGCTGACCTCGGTAGTGCACCTGCTGAGTGCGTTTAGTGAGAAACGAACACAACCACTGGATGAGAGAAGATGAGAGTTAACAGGTTTGGATTTTTATTCACAAAAAATTGAATTGAATTGAATTATACATTATTTGATTCCAATCGCAGTAAAAATGACATTATAAATTGTTGGAATTCATAGGCAAAGACATATACATTGAAATATATATATATATATATATATACATTGAAAAAGTAAAAAAAGAAAAAAGAAAAAGAAGACATGATTAAATCTACTAAAATTAAAGGATGGAAAAAGGTGCATCCCTAAAAGCCACAAGGGCTTGAGGAATGGGCGCACCCTGAGCGCGTCATAATATAATTAACAATAAAAAGCTCAGTCAGCTGGAGAAGAGTAAAGGGATAAACAACGCTTACAATATATCATTTGAGAAGAGCTATACACTGACAAGAAGTGCTGCTTAAGTTTACATTTAAATGGTTTAGTGAAGTGAATAGATTGTAAAGAATGTGGTAATGTGTTCCAAACTTTAGGGCCACTATGGCGTAGAGAAATCGCAACAGTGCTGGAAGATACTTTCCACTGGTGAAACTTAGAGGCATTCCTAGTACTGTAATTGTGTATTGTAGCATTAGTACAGAACATTTCTTTCAAAACATCAGGTAATATATTAGTATTAAACCGGTGCATTATCAAAGAAGTTTGAATCCTTCAGCGACAACTGAACCTCACAAGTATTACCGTCATCATCAAAGCCCGTCATTTGAATCTTATTAATGTCGTCTCCACTAAATATAATCTGTAATATTTTAAAAGGTCTTTTATGTTTTCTGGTTCAAAGGTATGGAATAATCCCCCTGATTCACTAAAAATTGCTTCATCCATAAATGTTTCTAAATACATGTACACAATGTTATTCTTCGAATGATTTTCTTCCTTCTCCTTACTCTACTTCTTCATCATCATCATCGACGTCATCATCAACATCATCATTATAATTAAAACAAAAATATAAGTGTTACCACTTTACAAGAAGCAAAGTTTATCTACAATGTGCTCGATTTCGGTTAATAAGAAATATTTGATGTTTTCATGAAATATAATTATGTTTACAACTCAAATTGGAATTCTATACCGCTTCCCTCCATATTCTGTTGGTAAACCTTGTCGAAGTATTCGTTTTCAGCCACGGTGAACTCGTCCTTCCATCCGCCAACTTTACCTGTATATTAGAAAAGAAATCAAATGAGTTTGTAATGAAACAATTGCTATATCAACAGTTCAAGAGTTTTAATGCTGAAAAAGTTTCCCTTTTTAGGTAAAATGAACAAACAAATACAAAATTAACATATCCTGGATACCGCTTTTAATTTTTTTTTTTTTTTATCTACTTCAATTTCCAGGTAAAGGATATTCGTTCAAAAATTAATTCAAGATTTAAGTCTTGTATAAAGTTCCTTCTTCCCTTGTGTTTCTTCTGAAACACTATTTTATTTGGCAGCATCTCTTGTCGCTGTTTTCTTCAACATTATAATCTGGACAGTAACTCGAACCCACACCAAGATCGGGGGAGGGGGGGGGGGTAACTCCGGGAAGCTCCGACGCCGATGCCGAAGGCGTCGGAGCTTCGGGTGGTGCATCGAAAAACATTCTAACAGCGGGTTGGGCGACATTATCTCAAAATCTCAAGGGAGTAATTACAATTTTGACTTACTAGGTTGATTGACTCCTATCGGCATCTATCCAGCAACTTGAAATTATAATTTTGTTTAAGTCTACGATGGGCAAAAAGGGGGTGGTTCTTCGTCCTACCCCGACGATTCTTCCATGTTGTATCGTCGATTCAACCGGCGAAGAGAAAGTACGCACTACCGCGCATGCGTAGTAGTGCGTACTTTCTCTTCGCCGGTTTTCCATCGAATACTTCTTCAAATTATAATTTCAAGTTGCTGGATAGATGCCCAGAGGAGTCGAGCAACCTAGTAAGTCAAAATTGTATTTACTCCCTTTGCATATTTTGAGATAATGTCGCCCGACCCTATGTTAGAGGGGTTAGGGGGTAGGAACTGATGCTTTTGAATATGATTTGCTTATGTTAGACATGCCTTACTCATGGGCTAATCAAGGACTTTTTAAAAGTGTCCTCTGATAACCGCCACCGCCACCCCCCCCCCCCCACCACCAAAAAAGAAGAAGAATATATATACGTGTATAATGAAAAAGGTTTACACCATATATTCTCATTATACCGAATGACAAAAAGTCTGCCCATCCTAAATTTCCTCAGTAATTCAATAAAACCTTCAAAGGTAATACAAAGTTTTGGTATGGGTTCATGAATTTCGTTCAATATACATTATTGGAAGCATATGCGATCCTACAATATTCAGTGATTGTTGTCGCGGTTGAAATGAATCTAAAATTATGAAATTGTAAATAATAAGCTCTTTATGTTGTATAGCTCCCTCTCAAGGTCAAGATATTAATTAAGCTATAAAACAATCTTCCTTGACTAATTGACTGATTAGCTATTTTCGTTTGGAAATTATATATCAGAACTACATATTCTGAGATTTTCATGGTCGCAGCTACCATTGTACTGCCGTAGGCGCTGTTTGAAATTTATCAGAATTTACCGGGAGCACCGGTAAATTTGTTAATTCAAGTGTTTTAGGGACTACAATTTTCTAGTGCTTATTATACATCCACAGCGGCATCCAAATATATCAAAATTGTAAAGAATAACTATCCACCCAATTTTCAAAATTTCCCCAAACTTTGCATTACCTTTATACCAAGATCACCATTGATTTTTACCTTTCCTGAGGAAGGGCACTTGTCCGAAGAGTCTTGTAATTGATTTGCCCGTGTCTCCCATTCTTTCCTCGATTTCTTGGTACGTTTTCTGCATGCCTTTCATCTCAGTCAGCTCGACAATCTTGTTCAACTTTTCATCCGAAAGAGGGCGCTCCAAGAAATTGGCTACGCGTTTGATGCTCCCTCTCAAGTCCTGTAATGTTAAGGTAAAGACCAGTTTGGAAACGCCCCCTCTTAAAAAATGAATATGGAAGCTCATATTACCAATCATGTGAAAAAATATGTTTTGACTAATACGTGATGATATAAATTTTGCCGGCGCGGAAACCGCCTACTAATTGATATATTTGGTAAATTATCCTATCTATTTGGACCTGTTAGATATCGCACACGTGTCACGCATGTGACGTAGTCCCATATTCATTTTTCTGTGTACCATGCTTGTAACTAATACCATTAGGCCAAATTTCTTATTATTTTGATGATCCAAGGACCTTGCAGTACACACCAATACTTATTTGCTAGATGATCAACCATTTCTGATCGATTCCACAACGTTTCTTTCACAATACAATCGCATGACCAGAACTGATTTTTATATGAAATTCAAGTTTGGATTATTATTTAGATACACGATATGTACTTTGCACAACACCAGTGACAGTAGTGGAGTATAATTATGCCATTTCGAATTAGGAGGTTTCTGGTCAAACAACTTAATGGTAAATATCACCAAATACGGACATGGGCCAAACGGGCCTACCTTTTCTTCGTTCTCCTCTGCCTACCTTGTGAAAGTCTTCGTATTTGCAGCAAAGGACATTGGGTTGATCCTTTAGGGCAAACCAACCTTTGACATGGCGAAACCAACTTCCGCCGAGCACTGAAAGACAAGACAAAACACATTCGATATTTCTGACCATAGATTTACCTATATATCGACCAATTTGATACAGCTCTATCTCTCATAACATTATAATAAATATTGGAATACAAGTTTTTTTGTTTAATGAATATAAGGATGACCGAGAGAGAAATGAAAGGAAGATCTAGTGATTAACTGCAATGCTGAACATTTATCTAATGGCATTTTGTAGTATGCTTGGAATAAATGATCACGCAAAACGAAACAAAAATGCTATCAATTTTATCTTAACTCCCCATATGGTTTGTGTTCTGGAGCTAATTTGGCGTATACTATGAAATAAATTGCAGTTCCGATGAAAAAAGTAGCTGCACGTACCAATGATCCTATGCGTATTCACTTAACCATGTTTAAGATGAGAAAAAACAAACATTAGAAACGCAGTATGCTTATTGTAAGCTCAAAAACTGTCAGAACTTACTGCGGCATAATCATGGTAATAAGCGATTAAGCTTTGTAATAGAATGCGGCCGTTTCTTGATGAGAAGATCATTTACTTTTTTCTGAGAGGAAGAATGGTAGAAATCCAGACAGGTCCTTCATTTCAAGAGGAAGAGCCGGATAACCAAAAAACTTGAAATATGAAATGGAAACATCCTTCGCATTCCTCGAGAAATAGATGACCTGTGGACGGTAAAAAGTCCAGTCAAAGATAATTAATAAAAATATCAAATACAGAATAAAAGTGACAATGCGTTTACAAATTTGTTGCAGTCATTGATTTAAAAGCAGCTTTCAAAAAAGAAAGAAAGTTAACTTCAGGGCACGTAATACAATCGGGTATTAATTGCCCTTCAGCTGATTTTTTTTACAGTTTTGCGATCGCTTTTAGCAGAAAAACTTCTCTTTTTAGGTTATTCAGCTCTTTTCGAATATGTCAGTGACGAGTGATTTCAACTTTTTCACACTCGTATGATTTCTTGAAAATATTAAGTTTTTGCTCTTGATTATGTTGACCATAAAACATTCAAAAAAGTAAACATGTAAAATGCCATATTCTCATAATTATATTTATATTTTTCTATCAATTCTGTTTGGGGATATTCGAAGCTTTAGCGGAATGAAATTTGCGTAAATGTTAAAGTTTAAATAAAGAATATTAAATATATTAAAAAATATATGAAAAAATGAAATTATATGATATGATATAATGTACTTTCACAACAATTTAGTTTCCTATAAGGAATTCATCGAATCATTGAAATATTGAAATTTGAACAACTTTTCACAAGATGACACCAAAGTTACCCTCTCTGTCATTCCGTAACGAGCCTTTATTAAATACATAGGACGAATGCTTGATAGGAAATACATATGTTGTGAAAGTATCTAATAGTATTCACAGTATTCAGATATGCAAGAGAATATTAATGTTGAACTACATAACATATCTAAATGGTTTAAGGCCAATAAATTAATACTTAATCTGACTAAAACTTGTTTTATATCTTTCCATAATAAGCTGTCCAATGCGACTAAAACCTGCAATGATCTTACATTAAGTATCGATTCTACACCAATAACTAAATCTAAATCTATTTGTTTTCTTGGAGTCAATATAGATGAAAATTTGAAGTGGGATTCACATATTAACTATTTAAGTACCAAAATATCTAAATGCATTGGTATTATGTATAAATTAAGAAGCTGTCTTCCTGGTTCAGCCTTATTCTCACTGTATAACGCCTTAATATTATCACATATCTTATATTGTATAACTGTCTGGGGAAATTGTAGTAAAACCAAATTAGATGTCATTTTCAAATTACAAAAGAGGGCAATACGAATATGTACTGGTAGTCATTATCTTACTCATTCGGCTCCCCTTTTCCATAAATTGAATACTTTGAACATTTTCCATTTATACCAATATCATACTATCCTACTTGGATATTTTTACTTCAAGAGTATCCTCCCCAAAAATATTGTTAAAATGTTCACTATAAATAAAGAAATTCATTCCCATGGCACACGAAACAGCAGCTTATTTCATTTATGGAAAGTCGGGAAAACCTTTGTACAACGGTCAGTTCGATATAGTTTCCCAACAATCTGGAACTCACTTCCCAATTATATTTGTTCATGCATCTCTCTCTCTCTTTCTTTCTTTAAAAGAAAATTGAAACAATATTTTATTTCAAAATATGCTTAGTTTGCAACTCTTTGATATTTGAAAACATCCACTTGAAAAAGGAAGTAATTTAGGTTTTTAGGTTGTTGTTGTTGTTGTTTTTTTTTTGGGGGGGGGGATCGGGTAATTACTTGGATGCACTTTATATCTGTTGGCATCTACATGTAGGTATTTTGTATTTCATATTCTATGCATGTATATATTCATATCCATTGCTTGTTTCTTTTCCCTTTGTTGTACAAATTTGAAACTATTATTATGAAGCCTCCAAATCACTCTCTAGCAAATGAGGACTTTTTTTTTCACAAGGCCAATCTGGCTTTATTTTAAAGTTCTCATAATTCATTTTCTTACAATGTAATAGGCCTACTTATAATATTTATTGCTTTTTATTTCATGACTTGTAAATATGTATGTTTTTTGTCACGTACAACTGTCTGTACATTTTAGAAATGAATTGAATAAATGAACTGAACTGAACTGAACTGAACTGAAAAAAAAGTATTCATATTTATATCATATCACTCATTTGCAGACTTTTGTTACGATTTTATCGATATTCTGTATTCAGAGGTGAAAAATCCCTGGAATGTAGTTCCTTAATGCTTGGAATTGGCATTTGATTTGTAAGAGATTTCACCGACGTTGCAACAATACCTTTGTTTTCTTTTTGATGTGTTCTGGTACAAACTCTTCTAGAATGTGACTGCCCATGACGCGGGGTGATTCCCACTTTGACATCGCGTGGTAGCCCGGTTCGACCGTCGCAAGACCGTCAACGGTATGGGACATGATTACATCGAGACCGTGAGGTAGGTGTGTGCGATCAATCTTCTCGACGTCGACGTCCTGCATGATGAGGGAAACGATCTCCCAAATCCAATGCGTGCCTGGAATGTCACGGGGTTCACCAGAGAGGATGGAAAAATCGTGAACATAAACGAAAATTGAGAAGGCGAATTGGTTCAGTCGGTAAAGCCTCGGTCACAAATGCCATTAAGAACTGCTACGAACGCCGTACGAACAATTTTCAGACAATGGAAATTCGGGAAGACAATGGAAAAACAGGGAGATTCGTATGAACGTATCGTTCATACGAACCTTTGTGACCGTAGCTGTAGGTGTATGCTTGCTGAACCAAAAACCGGGGTTGAATTAAGCCACGTCACAAGACTCTATATAGCCTGCGTTGTGTGTCAACGCGACCCTCCCCTGTTCCACAGCAACATGCTAAAGTAACAGTGTAAAACACTCCATCCCTCGGATAGAAGTGTAAATGAAGGCCTCGTGTGTGAGAAAGTCTCCGGCCTATGCATTTTATGAATCTACTGCTCTGAAGTATGGGGGAAAGTCCCAGTGTAGAAGTGCAGGAGCACAATAATATTAATAATAAAAGTGATAACAACAAAAATAATTTAACTATAATATAATGATAATTATGATATAGTGATAATTTTAATATGATGATAATTGTAATGATATAATGATAATGATAATAATAATAACGATAATAATAATTATAACAATATTTGTAGTAATTATAATAAAAACAACAACAACAATTGAAGCATTAACATTACTCTTTCTACTATTGTTTCTTAGCGCTTGATCACAACTTAGGACACACAAACCTTAACAAAGAAAAATAAGATAAGAGATCACCTACCTGACTTTGGATAGGTAACAACCAAGACATCATCGGGTCTCGTTTGCCAGTCTTTCAATGATTCCAGGATGTCAGGTACACGTATGGCTGGTAACGTGACTCCTTTATACTGGTAACTTTTTGACAGGATGTCGATAGTTACTAACTCATTGGTCGTGTTTGTAGTCGTCTGTGACGCTTCGGCAGTATCCATATTTTTGTAATCGTTCTCTTGATCTATCTAAAATGTTTTCTTGAATATTGTTTTAGATAATTTAAGATGTATCGTATACCAGATGAAATGATCTAGGATGTGCAAGGTTGAAACTTGCACCGACGCTGGTGCTTACCCCCTCTCAGTTCAGACGTTATTCGATCTTTTGTGCACAAAGTTTTAAGTCCAGAGAAATAGCCTACTTATACATAAGTAGGCTTATACATGTATCTGTATAAGTAGACTTATACATGTATCTGTGTTTGTTCAAGTTTATCATTACAACTTTATTATCACTATATTATAAGCGTTAACATTTCTTCACTGTGTTCTATTTGAGGAAAGATTAATTCAGAATTGTGAATACCGTGTTTAACCTTAAAGGCATCGTTAAACAATGTTAAATCTGGCATGGCCCTACGTGCTATCAGTGTTTGTGATGTGGTGTAATATTGAAGCCCTAAACAAATTGCGCTTCAAAATGATCATGAAGGGCCTCAAAAAAGTAAAAATATCTTTAAATGACCGGTTTCACCATACTCATTTTCCCCAAAAGACTGTAGTGTTATTAAAACTGTTAAGAAAACGCAAAATTTGATTTCGATTTTTAATCATAAATATCTTGATATGATAATCGGACAGGTGATTGGCTTGTAAAGGTCATATGGGGTTCCTGACTGACCTAAAGGTTTATAATTATCATTGCAGCATGAGCTAAATCTAGGACCTTGTTTCAGAATCTGAGACAAAGTTACCCAATCCCTTTAAGAGTAATCTTGTTAGAGTAAAATTAAACACAGTCACATGTGTAATATGGCGTAAACCCATATACTTTAATACATAGGTAACACCCTTCTATCTCTGAACAAGGATGACAATGTTGCTTGGTTCTTATTTAAATTAGTTTATGAAGCAATTATTTCCACATGCATTTTACATGGTATAGCCTACCTGATAACTTTTCACATTTTCGGGAACATCAACTTTTTAACCAATCTTGTAACTTAATTGTAATTGTTTATCTTTTATTCTACTTTACACCTACATGTACACATGTTGGCTTAGTTTCCTTGTCTTCTCTATTAAAATAGGAACTTTACATGTTTCAGAAATAACAATCTATATTGGTCTTCGAGGGCACATACTCCGTCATTGTTGCAATAAACATGTAAGTCATTAATCCCCAAATTTATGTTTTATTCAAAACAAATGGCAATTCTAATATTAACAATGAAACATGTAAGTCGCATGTAAATATAAGCAATACTTGCTCTTTTTCTTTTCCTTCTTCTTCTCATCTCCTCCTCTTTCTTCTTAATGTTATTATTATTAATATTATTTATATTATTATAATTAGTAGTAGTAGTCGTATTAGTAGTAGTAGTAGTAGTAGTAGTAGTAGAAGTAGTAGTAGTAATAGTAGTAGTAGTAGTGCCACCTTTATCATCATCATTATTATAATCATCATAGAAATCATCATCATCAACATCATCTTCACATCATCAGCACATCATCACCATTTGTATGTCCATTTTGTTTGTGAAAAATGTTTATCTACATTTATTTCGTGTATAAATCCTCTCTTCTAGGTCATCTAACATAAGTGGGACCTATTCAAAATATATTTGAATGTGAATTTCTTTTCGTATGGCAGGTTTATATGATGTCGTTAAAATGAAACACAAACATGCCCTTTGATAAAGGCTAAAGTCTATCATATACTGCAAAACTATGTTCATTATTCGAAAAGTTCATAATTCCGGAAATAATAAAGACTCCAATACATTTTGGGGGCGGTTACAATTTATAATTTTAGGAACTAATGACACCCTGGTATTATGGGTATGGACGAACCTTCGGATATTTGTTGTTATAATCATGACTATTCATTTCACGAGCCATTCCATCCCATTCTCCATTTGCATATGCATTTGTCATTAAAGTTATTACAACATTTCTGCTTTTTTGGTCTTTGCCGAGCCACCCCCCTCCTCCCGCAAGGACCAACGACATCACCCTCTCTAACACACATAAAATACCCCTCCCATACCCCAACATTCACACACAACGCGCGCGCACACACGCACGCACACACTCACACACACGTTCTCACAGCCAATGGCGCCCATGACATTTCTTGACATGACCTATCTGAAGAAATAAGCAAAGTAAGTATGGGACAGTCGATGCCTGTACACACGGATATTATTAGTTGTCAAAAAAATCTTCCTAAACAAGTCTCGAATCTTCATGTAGAAAACAAGAGTATTTATTTAGATTATCATTTTTATCATGCACATATGAAAACGTGTGACAAAATAAGTAACATCCGCCATTTATCTTAAAGCGACAGGACGCATTCAAAGACTATTAAAATAAACAAATTATACGAATAGTCGATTTAAATATAATTTTTTTTCCATAGCAAAAAGAAAAAGAAAAAGAAAATCCCTTGGGATCTCTTTAATATATAACGGCTCTAGACAGAGTAAAGCAAAATAGTAAATTTTGTTTAACTGGACAAACCTCAGAAGAAAATAACATTTGCGCGAATATTCAACAGACGCTAAAAGGCATGTTGCCTGAAGAGTAAGAAAATAATTAGCAAACTGACTATTTCGAACCGGGACTCCAAGTTTGGTTTGTGTAGTTTATACAGTGGGTCCCAGAAAAAAAATGAAACGAGAATCAACGATGTTTTATTATAACTTAATCACAATCATTTATAAATGACACATATTTGTAAAGCTTAGAACCGCCTCTTTCAGTTGATGGAACTCATATGATGCATATTTCACGCATGAGTGATTAAAAGCAATTTGAAGAGAAGAAGCCAAAAATTCATTTGGCGGACGGTATCTGAATTTCAAAGAGAAAATCACATTTCTAGAAAGTTCATTTTCTGCCTTTTTCATATGACACCTCAATCACGAAAAATGAGCCAGAATTAACAAAGTTCCGTTTGTGTAAAGTAATGCTTGCGTTTCCATAATATCATTAAACAAATTTGTTTTACACTGGCTGCCTGCCGTAGCAACAAACACAATTGACAAAAGACTTAACTCCGTTTCGTTGACGGTTAGCCATATAGACGAAAGACTTAATGCATGGCTGATTGGCAACGAAACGGAGTTAAGTCTTTTGACAATTCCGTTTCTTTTATAAAGGATGGCTTACTACATCAACAACGACCTGAATTGATATTCACGTCTAAAGAATTTCATTCTAAACCCGGAATTATGCTTAAAAGTAACACAAAATTACAATACTCCTAATGAAATGAAAAAACAAAAATAAATTGAAAGATATTTTTACAACTCAAACTCGAATTCGATACCGCTCCCGTCCATCTCATGTTTGTAGACCTTATCAAAATATTCATTCTCAGCCACAGTGAAATTGTGTTTCCAACTGCCAACTTTTCCTGCAAAAGATCGATCAAATATCAATGAAGAATATACAAAAAAAAAGGTTGATTTCTTGTAAAATTTTAAATATTCGTTGGTGATTTCATTGTTTTTAAACCAAGTAAATTTCCAAATTTCTTTGTAGGAATATGCCATGGGGAGATTGATATTTAAGTACGAGCAAAGTTGTTTATATTCTTTTCCAACATTTTAATGACACACAATAAGCATGTGTGGAGTCCCAGAATATCATACAGTTGGGGAGTGTTTAATGGTTTATGACTTCCAAATTCGCAAGTTTGGCATAGGTCGTAATTTAATTGATATTGAAGCTTGATCATTATAATTTACGTCATTCTTGAAAATCGTACGTACAATTAGCCTATTGTCGATTTTGTGGACTGTCACTTCTGTGAAATTTTTATCAACTTGTAGGAACTTAAAAGGTCCGAGAGACTGTACATTGTGTTACAGTGGAAAGTATAATTTCTCAACGATCAATGTTTAGTTTTGTTTGTATTTACGTAATATCTTTGTCACAAAAAGAGAAATCAAGTTGGAATTACTAAAGATTCAAGTTCATCGAGTTTTACCTTTCCTGAGGTAGGGCAGTTGTCCGAAGAGTCTTGTCACTGACTTCCCCGTGTCTCCCATTTTATCTTCGATTTGTTGGTAGGTTTTCTGCATGCCTTTCATTTCGGTGAGCTCGACAATCTTATCCAGCTGTTCATCTGATAGAGGGCGCTCCAGGAAATCTGCAACTCGTTTGATGCTGCCTTTCAAATCCTGTTATGAATATATAAAATGCGATGTTAGTGTTCAGCATTAGCTCAAAACATCGGATGCTAGTTTGGCTTGTTTATCAAAATACTTATTGCAGTAACTATAAACCGACTCATAAATACATTTAAGATATAGAACCGAATGAATTGGGAAATAATTTCGTCATAAAACAAGTATTTTGTTTAAATTTCATATTCATAATGATATTTATTTTTCGTAAGTTATTCACCTACCTCCCGAACCCTCACCATAGACTCTTACTTTTAAAGAGATAATTATTGGATCATTTTCAACCATGAAAAGCCACTAACTGAGTATGTATATCAATAATTGATTTTAACGTTATTATCATTGATAAGACTAAATATTCCTGTCCCCTGTCATCGTTGGAAAGGGTATGAGACCAAGTCTTTTGAACCAACATTTTATTGGCCATTCAAACGTCCCGTATTTCTATCATGAACATACAATGGATGATTAAACGCTAAATTTAATAAATGAACTATATAGGAATAATATGAATCGCCTCATTTGGCCTGTAAGCTATTCGCATACCCCTACATAGGTGTCTTCTGAAAATATAAATAAGTGTACTGGATCATGGATTACGTCTTCTTCAATTGTATAACTCTTTATATGCCAAAAAATATTATCGATGTGCCACATTATATGAATGGATATAGCAATGGCTTTGATATAATATAACTTTTTCCGGCTTTGAATCCTCTCAGACTAGGTGATGAGGAATAATGCCTTACCAGAGGGCACTAGTGCAACGACTTGGCTTCGAGCCCGAGACCTTTCGACTGCGAGACACTGCTCCACCACGGAGCCATCATGCCTATTGATGTGGCTACCCTGGTAAAATCATTATCAATCATTTTTTTCATTCTTAACAAATTCTTACCTTATGAAAGTCTTCGTATTTACAAAGGAGGACGTTAGGATCATCTTTGTGAGCGAACCAACCTTTGATATGACGGAACCAACTTCCACCAAACACTGAAACAGAAAAACGCCAAAAAATGGTTCAGTGTTTTCAAAAAATAATAGTAGTAATACTTATAATGATAACAATGATGATAATGATGGTAATGATAATCATAGTAATGATGATGATGATGGTGATGATGATGATAGTTTTGATGATAATGATGATGATGATAATATGATGATGATTATGAATTTATTCAAACATATTCTTCCTGATTTATGTTTGAAGAAATGATATTAATTCTAACAACCAGAAAAGAACAACCAGACAAGAAAAGAATTAAATCGTTGACAATCGCGCTACTGCTCTGAAAGAGAAACGATTCTGAGTCGATTTAGCTTTTGTTCTGGTATGGAAGCTTTTTACCCATTGAACGTGATGTTTTATTCATCCTTTGACCATGCAGATCCTTAATCAATTAGTTTTTACAAGTTTGGATTTTCACATTAAATGTTATTTTTCAAATTCTTCCCAAATCGGATCGTAGTCAGTTCATGGGTGGCCTTAAAGCGGTGGGCTTTAATGAAATGTGGAGGATAACTGGTGGTGGTGGTTATTTTACCTGACTGCTAAGAAAGCATATAAGTAAGCAACCAGAGGACCAACGGCTTTAGGTCCTCTCCGTGGGACATGGTAATGCCTCACCAGAGGGCAAGAGCGCATTGACTTGGTTTCAAACCCGAAACGTCAGATTACGAAACCACTTCTTTACCAACTGAGCTATCACGCCTCTACAGCCGACAAAAACGCAGATTTCCCTTTGAATCATCAGAAGCGAAGCCATGATGTAGGTGATTGGCAGGCCTTTCAAAAACTCGATTTCATGGAAGTTCCCACATGATGTTAATGCATACATTTGAACCAGTTTACCCGATCCATGCAGTGGTAATTTAATTACTTTTGTCAGAGAGAAAGTAGGGTACAAATCCTTTCCATCCTTCCATTTCAACGGGGAGGGCAGGACCCACGAACTTGAAATACGAAACGGATACATCCTTCGGGTTCCTTGAAAAATAGATGACCTAGTGAGAGAGGTACGAAAAACTGATATTTCCAATTCAAACAAACAAATTCCATAGACATAGGTGAATTAAGAAACATAGGACAGATATAGAAGACAGTATAAAAAAGGTATGCCCTACTATAAATTGTACCAATCACTATAACATGTTTTGCTCTAGATACGAGGGATTCTATTTTGAGATACTATATTGGTTCAAATATTTCTTCTACAAAAAGATATTGGAGAAGACTACATAACGCACGCACGCGTACGCACTCGGAGAGACGGAATAGGGCGCGCACACGCATCACACGCAGGTTTTTTTTCTTAACCTTCATTTCTTTATACTATTTAACCATTTACCTATAGAATGTCGGATAAAGGTTCATGTTGGCTGACTGTCATACGTTTTACATACACAGTTATTCAGATGATTGATTCACTTTAAAAAAAACAGAACAAGAAATTCCACGAAAAAGAGTAATGTTACGATTTCATAAACTTATGAAAGTGTTTGAATTTGGCAGAGGTTTCCGTTATTTTATAATATACCTTTGATTTCTTCTTGATCTGTTCTGGAGCAAACTCTTCAAGGAGGTGAGAGGCCATGACACGAGGTGATTCCCACTTGGTCATCGCCTCATGACCCGGCGTGATCGTTGCGAGGCCGTCGACTGTGTGGGACAAGGCGAGATCCAAAGCGAAGACCATGTGGGTGCGATCGATTTTCTCGACTTGGACGTCGTTCGTAATGAGGGCAACGATCTCGAAGATCCAATGCGTCCCTACATGTTTGCCAGAAAGAAATGAGAGAATAGATAATTTCGACAAATTATTTCAGTGCATGAGCACAGATGCACACAAGAGTCTTCCGAATGTCAAGTCGACGTAGTGAAATGCGCCATTATGACGTCATTCTGACGATCTGCGCATGCTACAGTTACCACTACCAAAATCGGAAAACGTGTCTACCTTGCATTTGACGCTCATCTCAACCTAAAACAAGTACCAAGCTGGATGTACCGGCACGTGTATGCATGTGCATGAATAATACATCTCATGTCGGCATCCTCATGTTCTTAGTAGGGACTTTTAAATTCGCACGAAGACAATGGGGATTGCTACGATCGACGTCCTTTTAATGCACTGCCTTGAATGGACGTCACACGTATCAGTCCACGCAAATCTAAAAGTCCCTATATAGTGCCGCGAGCGAGCGGGCGTTGACTGAAATCGAAATAGGGAGTAAACAAGCGGTGCGGACCAGGCGCGTATCTACAATGGGGGCCCTGTTTTTGTTTTGCTAGGGGCCGGGGTGGGTGGGGGGGGGGGCTAACCCAAAACAGGTAACAAATTAGAATGGTTACGTAAATTGTACTTGTTTTAGAAAAAAAAGCGGGCCCTCCCCTGCCCCCACCCCCCCCCCCCCCTCCTTGCCAAACATATTGTATTTATTTTTTGAAAGATATATATTTTTTCATTTATTTCTCGCCAATTTTTTTTTCTTTTCCTCTTACCTCTCCTCCCGCTTATTTGCTGGCTGGCTGAGTCTCTGCTAAATATTTCTCATAAATTTGACCCCCCCCCCCCCCCCCAAAAAAAAAAAAAAAAAAAACAGGGAAACGTACGTACGCAATAATAACTGTCGAATCCATGAGGTATGTCACAGAACGTGCCGTGCGAAGTTCTGAAAATTCGCAGAACCGCAAAAGACGAAGGATTTTGAAGAAAAGTTACGTCCTCCCTTTCGTCAAATGTATGATGTTTTCTATTTTTCAAATAATGTTTTTTTCTTCATAAATGGCCTAAAACTAAAATTAACATGTAGTTAGAGGTAAATTACCCTTTAAACAACCTAGCCTCTTGTTACTGAGAGAATACAATACCGGATACTTTAAAACGGACCAATCTTCCTGCATTTCTGAGAAATAGGAATGAAAAATATACCTCTATTCTTAATTTATCCGTAGACCAATTTAATGGACTTGGTAACATTGTTCAGATGAGAGAAAATGGTGCTAATGTAGTGACTTCAATGCTAAATGTACATTTAAAGATAATCTGAACGTTTGAGTGAAAACGAACCATTATTAATGATCAAAATTGGGAAAAACTAATATGATGGATTCTTTGATTCCCCCAACTATATTATTACAGTTCAATTACATTTTAGATGAATGTGAATCGTCACAAAGCAATAAATTGGCTCTATATACCATTCCAGAAATTTAAGTGGTGAACGAATTTTTAAAGCCTGTCTCATTTCTTATTTTTAACGAAAAACGGTTGGAAAATTCAAAAAAGGTTTTGAGAATATACTGTTGATCACTATTAGAGGGTGTTGCACAGTGACACCTTTAAAGAAACCCATAAATATCTTTGTGGTTTGAGAATTCTTTCAGAATTTGATGTCTGTTAGAGGTTAAGTACAGTAAAAATGCATACAATAAGTAACGATTCATACCAAAATTAAACTATTTCTTTACCAACCTTCAACAATGTTACTGAGTCATTTTAAAGAGACATTACGTTGTGTTCTCCGGAGAAGACGCTTTAAATATCCTATAATTCCAATTATTTTTGATATTATCATTTATTACTATTTTCACTATGATAATCATTATTATTATCATTAGTATCACTATTAAGCTACCACTCCTTTTCCTATCCCTCCCTTTTCTCAAAACTCATGGTGAATTCAATGTAATTTTGGCCTGCCTATACAGGTACAACATCTGAATGATTAGGCTATATTTGCATATTATAAACATGAAGACATCTTGAATTTTCTTACCAGACTTTGGATAGGTAACAATATACACATCATCGGGCCTTGTTTCCCAGTTCTGTAGTGCCTCGTATATTGCTGGTTGTTGCATAGGAGTTAGGGTTACACCCTTGTATTCGTGCGTCTGATTGAAGATGTTAATCGCCTCACCTTCCGGGGACGGTGCTTTGCTGTTGTCCGTTGCCGCCATCTTCAAATACCTGCTACAGTTGTATATACTAATTTACAGAATGACCGCGCGAGATTTCTTCTTTCCCGAGTGGCGTTCGGCAGTAAAATACTTGTTGTGCTATGTAGTTGTTAAAGATAAGCCTCTAACGTACGAGATACCGCGATTGGACATCTAACGTCGCATAATTAGCGAGGTAGTCTACCTTTCAAAGATCAACCTTGCACGTTTTACGGCTGAAAACAGCTATGGAGTAGAGGATCTTAAAAACCTTTGTCCTGCAAAAGATATTTTCATTCATATGTATGTACTGTTAATGTGGTCTCAGGTCAAATGGTTGGAACTCAACTTATGCGGATGCGTTCATTAAAACAAGTAACGTACATGCCTGAATACAAAGACTAATGCTGATAATCTTGTTTACTATTATATAACAAGTTCGACAGTGTAAAGACTCAGTCATTCGGTAAGACCTACTCGAAATTGAATATTGCGCCCAAACATTACAATAATCAAATATACACTGTAACTAAGTTTTAGATGAGTTAAGATGTATCGTATACCAGCTGATAAAATGATCTAGGATAGGCCCACGCAACTAGCACAGACACCGGCGGTTAACCCCCTCTGCGTCCGACCTTTCATGCGCAAAGTCTTAAGTCCAGAGAAAATAAGGATTGATCGATGTGAAATAGCCTACTTACCTCTTGATATTTAGGTTTGTCCATATCTATAATTACAACTATATTATTACTATGTTATAAGCATTACAGTTTACTTCACCTCATACAAACTTGAGGTAAGATTCATTCAGAAATCTGAAATTCTGTGTTTAACCTGAAGAGTAATCTTTTTAGAGTAAATTTATCCACGATCACTTCTAATTATGTTTATTGCCAGAGGGGCGTAAACCTATATACTTTAATGCATATTTAACGCCCTTTTGGCTCTACAAATTAATTTATGAAGCAATTATTTTCACATGCATTATAGATGTTATAGCCTATATGATACTTTTACATTTTTCGGGAACATGAGCTTTTTTAACCAATCTTGAAACTTATCTTTAATCATTTTATGTTTTATTGTACTTTACACCTGCATGTCCAGTTGTTGGCTTCATTTCTTCGTTCTTTCTATTAAAATATGAAACTTCATATTTTCTATGGTTTAGAAATCAAAATCTCTGTCAGGCTTCGTGGGCTGCCTTCTCCTTTATTGTTGTAATAAACATTTAAATCGTTTATTCTCAAAATTTCTGTTTTATTCAAAACAAATGGCAATTTCATATCGACAATGAAACGTGTAAATCGCATCATCATCGTCATCATCATGGGAATCATCATCATCATCTTCATTTCAATTTTGCATGTTTACAACGTTTATCCATATGTATTTTGTGTATACATTTTCTCTTTTTGGTGATGTTAAATAAATTAGACCTATTTAAAACATATTTTAAAGGTAAAGACCAGTTATGATCAAGCGATTGCATTGTGAAAGAAACGTTGTGGAATCGATCAGAAAAGGTTGATCATCTAGCATCTAGCATCTGCAAGGTTCTGGAATCATCAAAATGATAAGAAATTTGGCCCATTCTTCGTAAAGTTACAAGCACTATACACAGAAAGATGTATATGGGACTACCCTATATCTCTCACAGACCATGAGAGAAACAAATTTACCAAATATATTAATTAGTAGGCGGTTTCCCGGCAAATTTGTTATCATCATGTATTAGTCAAAACATATTCTTTCACATGATTGGTAATGAGAGCTTCCATTTCATTTTTTGAAATTGGGGCGTTTCCAATACTGGTCTTTACCTTTAATGTCATTTTCTTCTCGTACAACAAGTTTCTACGATGTCGTTAAAATGCAAAAACACAATGCCCTTTGATGAAGTCTAAAGTCTATCATATAAAGTATTATAGTCCAATGGATTAAAAGGTTTAACCCCGCCTAGGTTCATCCGTTGCTAATCGATGATTCAATAGACATAAAATTATGCATGATAGGGGCCTAGAGCAAATTTGCTGGTGATTTTGTACTTTGACCCAGGGACCAAGCTTGATCGTCAGTCCAACATAAGCAACACCACACCTACGACAAACCCCAGGTTCCAAGTCGTTTTTTAATATTCATGAGTTTCGATTTCTTTAAATAAAATAGCTTTTATATCTTCGAAAATGAAATATGGTTTTGATTCTGAAAAGGACATTAGAAACAACATTGTACAGGTTTATACTTTCGGAAAAGAAAAAGACTCTTTAACAAAAATAATTTTGGGACATACGAAGGAGTTATAAATTTATAATCGTTGGACAAACGCCCCATATTCAATTTTCGGAATTATGGAGCCCTGGTATCGATGGTATGGGGAATATGTGTTTTGAAATAATGAACAATCCGCTAGAATCAATAATCATAATGTTTGATTTTATCCGCTCTTTCGCCATTCTATCTTATTCTTCATTTCATATCCGTTTGTCATGAAAGTCATTAAAAAGGTGTCTTTCTTGATCTTTGCCGTGTCTCCCCCCTCTCCCACAAGAACCAACGATAACACCCTCTCTAACACACATAAAATACCCCTCCCATACCCCAACATTCAAACACAACACGCGCACACACACGTACGCACTCACATATTTCCACCGCCGATCATCGCGCCCATGAATTTCTCGACATGATCCATGTAAAGGAATTAAAAAAAAACTATATCTGGGAAAGTCGATGCCTGTACACAAAGTTATTATGTGTAAAATAAAGTCTTTCAAAACAAATCTCGATACTTCATGTAGAAAACAAGTATATTTATTTAGAATATCATTTTGATTATGCACCTATGAAAACGTATGGCATAATGTATTTGTGAAGCATTCACTATTTATCTTAAAGCGACATTATGCATTCAAAGACTATAAACATATTATACGGTTAGTCAAGTAAAATATACACATTTATCTCATAGCAAAAAGAAGAAAACAAAAAATTCGTTCAGGTCTTTTGAATATAATGGCCCTAGACAAAGTAAAGCAAAATAAAACAAAAACAAAAGTAATTGAAAAATACAATTCTTAACTGGACAAACCTCAAAAGAAAATACCATGTGCGCCAATATTTAACAGACGCTAAAAGAGTGTTACGTGAACATTTAGAAGATAATTAGCAAACTGAAAATTTTCGAACTGGGGCTCCATGTTTGGTATGTTTAGTTTAAGTAGACCTATACATGTTTAGCTCACTTATAACTGGACATATAGCTCAGATGAAATAAGTAACTAAAAAGTCAAAATATGTCAACCCGATTCTATAATGGAGTGAGGAAAATATACAGATATAATGGTGAGATACATACTTTTACAATTTGCAGTTTAGCTATGCAACGCATCTTATAAAAATACTTTGTGTACTTGTTTAAATTTTGCCAAATAATACTTTTCGATTCTTTGGTCTCATTGAGAAACACACTGACTTATTTAAAAAGGATGGTTTACTCCCGGGTTTACTATTTTGAATACGACCTGAAATAATATTCACGTGTGCAGAATTCCATTCTGAACCAACGACTATGCGTAGAAAAAAACACAAACTTACAATAAGCCTAATGAAACAAAGCAGCAGACAAAAGTGAAAGGTATTATTACAACTCAAACTCGAATTCGATACCGCTCCCGTCCATCTCATGTTTGTAGACCTTATCAAAATATTCATTCTCAGCCACAGTGAAATTGTCCTTCCAACTGCCAACCTTTCCTGCAAAAGATTGATGAAATATTACATTAAAAAGTTGAGTTCTTTTAAAATTTAAAATAAGTGTTGGTCATTCTTACTGTCTTAACACGTAGGTGATTTTTAAATGTTATCGTAGGAATATGATACGAAGAGGATTGATACTAAATATAAATAAAGTTGTTTAAAGGCTTTTGTTTAAGAATGTGTGGAGTCCCAGAAAATCATATATTTGTAGCGTTTTTTTTTATGGTTTATGATTTCCAAATTCGCAAGTTTGGCGTAGGTCGTAAATTAAATAATAGTGAAGCGTGATCTTTATATGTCATTTTTGAAAATTGCACGTACAATTAGGCAATTGTTGATTTTGTGGACTGTCGCTTCCGTCAACTTTTATTTACGCTGCGTAAAACTAAAAGGCATGAGAGATCCAAACAAAAATCGTTAACCCTAAAAAGTATAGATTATCAAGGTTAAATGTTTAGTATTCAGATTGTCCGTCTATCGGGATGTGAGATTCATACTTTCATTCATATTTTCGTAATATCTATGTCACTCAAAGGGAAAACAAGTGAGAAGTACAAAACAATTCAAGTTCATCGAGTTTTACCTTTCCTGAGGTAGGGCAGCTGTCCAAAGAGTCTTGTGATTGACTTGCCCGTGTCTCCCATTTTGTCTTCGATTTGTTGGTAGGTTTTTTGCATGCCTTTCATTTCGGTCAGCTCGACAATCTTATCCAGCTGTTCATCTGATAGAGGGCGCTCCAGGAAATTTGCCACTCGTTTGATGCTGCCTTTCAAATCCTGTTACGAATACATGAAAATCGATTCAGTGCAGGGGCGGATCTACGGGAGGGAGGTAAGGGGGTTTAAACAGCCCCCCCCCCTCCCCCCCCCTTTGTTTGACAAAAAAAGGAAACATTTCTTCTTTTTTTAATGTCGAGGGCAACTTTTTTTTTTTTTTTTTTTTTTTTTTTTGGGGGGGGGGGTGCTTTCTACCCCCTCACCCCGAAATATTGGTCGGCACTTAATAAAGAAAAAAAATGTAATGCTCACTACTCATTTGCCCTGTACGCTTTTTCCATAACTCTGCTGGTGTCTTCAAAAAATTATAATTAACTGCACTTGTATAATTCCTTATATGACAGCAAGACACCTTTTGATTAAACTGTGTAGTTTCAATAGCTGTCGAGGTCTGCTGGTCACCTTCCGACAGCAAGACTCTGCTCCACCACGGAGCCATCGTGCCTTTTGATGTGGCTACCCTGGTAAAATATCACTCATTTTTCATTCATAATATCGTACCAAATTTCTTACCTTATGGAAGTCTTCGTATTTACAGAGCAGGAGGTTAGGATCATCTTTGCGAGCGAACCAACCTTTGACGTGACGGAACCAACTTCCACCAAACACTGAAACAGAAAAACGCCAAAAGATGGTTCAGAGTACTCACATAATGATAGCAGCAGTACTAATAATGATAGTTAACAATGATCATGATGCATGATCAATCAACCAACTTCTTCCTGATTTCGGTTCTTTATTTGACATTAATCCTCACAACCAGAATTGAAGTGCATTTAAGCCTAATTCTAGTCACAAGAAAAGACAAGTCGGCTTTGTATCGTAGACAATCGCAATACCGGTCTGACGTCACTACGATTCTGAGTAGATTTAGCTTTCCCTCCGTTAATGAACCTTGTCATCTATAGAAATTGAGTTTTTTTTTAATAAATCCTTTGACCATGCAGATCGTTATTCGTAAAGTGTTTACAAGTTTGGATTTTCACATTAAACGCTATAATTGCTAATTATTCCTAAATCAGATCGTAGTCATATCGTATAGTGAGCGGTGGGCTTTAATAAAGTGTTGACGATATAGAGTTGACAAAAGCGCAGTTTTCCTCTTGAATCAACAGAAGCGAAGCTACGATATCGGTGGCTGGCAGTTCGTTCAAAAACCCTAAATTCATGAGAGTTTAAAGCCTATCTGTACTAATTTAGCCAGGATATTAAGACCTCCCTGCGTGGTCACTGACAGGTGGTTATCCAAGATAGCCAATGGGAGCCAATGGGAGCCAAGATATCGGTGATTGACAGTCCCTTACAAAACTCTAATTTATTAGCGTTTAAGGGGAGGGAGGACTTCCCACACAATTAGTAGCATAATTATAACCCAGTTGACGCGATCCTGTGTGTTTGTGTTTTTGGAGTCAGCATGTTGTACTTACTTTTGTCAGAGAGAAAAAAGGGTACAAATTCTTCCAATCTTTCCATTTCAGGGGGGAGGGCGGGACCCGCGAACTTGAAATACGAAACGGATACATCCTTCGGGTTCCGTGAAAAATAGATGACCTGGTCAGAGAAGTAGGAAACAATGATATTTCCATTCATGTAAATGAATTCGAGAGAAGGGGATGACTTAAGAAATCATAGGACAGATATAGAAGGAAGTATAACAAAAAGGATGTCTTAAGCTATGGTCACAACTCAGAGCGGCGACCGACCGATTTGTAACCTGCTCGGTCGCCGCTGGAATTAAGGCATCGCCCAACGACTTTTAGAGAAGTCGAGCAGGCTGTAGAGCACCAGCGATGCCTGGGCGGTGCCATGTCGATTTGCGAAATCGGGGAGATTCTCCGGGCGGCGCGCAGGCAGTGACCGACCGATGACTCACCGATTCCCGGGCGGTCTCTAACCAGCCACCGGCTGATTTTAAAGAAAATCGGTCGGGCACCAAATAACGCTCGGTACGCTCAATGCCGGGCGGTCGCAGCCCGAGCGCCGACCTAAGTCGAGCGTTCGCCGTCGCGCGACTTATGGAGCTCTCACACTCTGCCGTGTAGGCCTACCGTCCACCTGCCGGGCTATTAAAAAAACAAGTCGCAACAAAAACGAGTCCAGAAAGTTGGGTTTTGAGCGAACTTGTCCCCGGCCGCAAAAAAAAAAAATCATAAAATTAATCTTTTCACCGTTTCGTTGCCATCTTCTGACCGTTCTCACCGGGCGCATACCGGGTGTTGAACGTGCTTCTACCGTCTTCACCGCCCAGATTCACTTTTGTTGAAAAATTTTGCCGTTTCCATACCGGGCCCATACTGGGTCTCGAACGTGTGCACCGGGTTTGTAACAGCCACCTACCAGTCACTTAGCGTCCCCTCACCGCTCGGAGCGTCCTGTGAGCGAGTCCCCGGACTGCTGACGTCATGACACGACTGCCATAAATACCCCGATTTGAACGGCAACGGTCAGTCCGCTCTCCATTTTTCATCACCGTTCTGTAACGGGTTATGTGAACGTGTTCATACAGTGTGACCGTTTTCATAACGTATTCATACCGTCCTCATACCGTTCAACACCGTCCTCTTGCCGCTTACTTGCGGCCGGTGCCAGCCGGCCAAAGTTTTGAACATGCCCAAAACTTTCGCCGGGTCCCACCGGGTGTAAATAAGCGCCAACGCCCTATTAACGTGTTGCCCGCTTTGATAACGAACCATGTGCCCTCGCCGTTCTTCACCGTCCGCAGACATTTTCGCGCACGGTGGAACACGGTAGGCCTACACGGCAGAGTGTGAGAGTCACTTTAGGTCAACAATCGAAGCCGCTAGGTCAAAGGCTGCCGACCGATTTTGAACTCGTCAGCCAGTGACCGACTGATCTCCCAGCGACGCCCGGCCGGCGACCGGGTAGCGACCGCTCGGCAGCTTTCGATCTAGCGGCTTCGATTTTAGACATAAATTGCTCGACGGCGAACGCTCAATCGGGTCGGTGCCCGGGCGGCGACCGCCTAGGCACCGAGCGTAGTTTGGTTATACTCGTTAACCATTTTCGTTATACTCTTTAACCAGTTAATGTAGGCTAACTTTTATACATTCGACCCTTACACTACTTCAAAAGATTGGTTTATTTTTAAAAACTGAACAAGAAATTCCACGAAAAAAGGTAATATTACGATGTTCATAACTTCATGAAAGCGTTTGTATTTGGCAGAGGTTTCTGTTATTTAATAATGTACCTTTGATTTCTTCTTGATCTGTTCTGGGACAAACTCTTCTAGAATATGACTGGCCATGACGCGGGGTGATTCCCACTTCGACATCGCCTGGTAGCCCGGTAAGACCGTCGAAAGACCATCGACGGTATTGGACATGATTACGTCGAGAGCGTATAGCAGGTGTGTGCGATCAATCTTCTCGACGTCGGCGTCGTGCATGATGAGGGAAACGATCTCCCAAATCCAATGCGTACCTGGGCAGTGTTTACCAGAGAGAGCGGGAGGGGGGAAGTTTGAATAAATCATTCACATAAATGGAAAAAAAAATGAGAAGGCGAATAGAACCATTCGGTAAGGTGTATGCTTGTTGAACCAAAAACCGGGGTCGAATTAAGCCACGTATAATAATAATGATAACAACAACAACCATAATCATTTGTAAAAACCCTATCTACTAATGTTTCTTAGCGTTTAAACACAACTTGGAACACACAAACCTAAACCAAAATAATTAAGATGAGAGGTCACCTACCTGACTTTGGATAGGTAACAACCAAGACATCATCGGGTCTCGTTTGCCAGTCCTTCAATGATTCCAGGATGTCAGGTACACGCATGGCTGGTAACGTGACTCCTTTATACTGGTAACTTTTTGACAGGATGTCGATCGTCACTAACTCATTGGTCGTGTTTGTAGTCGTCTGTGACGCTTCGGCAGTATCCATATTTTTGTAATCGTTCTCTTGATCTACCTAAAATGTTTTCTTGAATATTGTTTTAGATAAGTTAAGATTGATCGTATCCCAGCTGATAGAATGATCTAGGATATGCAAGGTTGTCGATTGAAGCCGACTGCAACTGGCACCGACACTGTCCGTTAACCCTCTCTTTGTTTAGAGGTGGCACATTGTTCGACCTTTCATTCGAAAAGTCTAAAGTCCAGAGAGAATAAGGATTGATTAACGTTTAGATAGCATATTTACTCCTTGATATTTATTGTTTATGTTTATCTTAACAACTTTATTATCACTACATTATAATCATTACTGTTTTCTACACGTCATATTATTTGTGGTTAGATTCATTTAGAAATGTGAAATACCGTGTTTAACCTTAAGATTATTTGTTGAGTAAATTTAACCACAGTCACTTCTGTAATATGTTTATAGCCAGAGGGGCGTAAACCCATATACAATAATTCAAAGTTATTGTCCTTCTGGCTCTGAAACAGACTGTAAATGTTGCTTGGTTCCTATTTAAAATAATTCATGAATTAAATATGTCCACACATGTTATCGCGTAAATTAAAATTTTCGGGAACATCAACTCGTTTAATCAATGTTGAAGACATTTCGCGGTGGTCAAGTAATACGAATATTAAACAGCATATTTTCCTCCCGAAAGAGTAATAGTGTTAGATTGCCAGTTTAAGGTCATGATGTGATGGCATGTGCGCTAAACAAGTAGATACAATTCTTCTTCCTTATTTTCTTCTTTATTTTCTTGTTCTTCTTTGCCTTCTCCTTCTTCTCCTCCTTTTTATTGTTATTATTACTCATGTTTATATTATCATAATTAGTTTCATTATTCGTATAATTATTATTAATAGTAGTAGTAACATAAGTATCATCATCATGATCGTCATGATAATATGTATATTAGTATCATTATTATTATTATTATAACTAGTAGTAGTAGTAGTACTAGTAGTAGTATAAGTAGTAGTAGTAGTAGTAATAGTAGTAGTAGTAGCAGTAGTAGTAGTAGTATTAGTAGTAGTAGTAGTAGTAGTAGTAGTAGTAGTAGTAGTAGTAGTAGTATTAGTAGTGACAGCATCATTATCATCATCATCATCATCATTTTCTTCATTCCCATTGTGCATGTTTACAACGTGTATCTATATGTACTTTGTGTATAAATCCTCTCTTCTAGGTCATCTTACATAAGTTGGACATATTTCGAATATATTTCAATGTGATTTTGTTCTCGTACAACAGGTTTAAGATAATGGTGACATTTAAATAGCGCACATGTCCGCCACGTCGAGACGCTCCTGGCGCTGCCCCAATTATGACCCTGGCTTTAGCAAGGCGGCCATTACTGCGCTCTAGCGTTTCAACAAGGAATAAGTTCATGTCAGGTCCCAATTTACATCACCTGGGATGAGTGCGGCAAATGTATATCAATGCCTTGCCAAAGGACATTAATGCCGCGGTGGGACTCGAACCGCGGACCTTGTGATCGACAGTCCGGACATATCCACTCGACCACGACATATGTACGTCGTTGAAATGAAACACAAACATTCTCTTTGATAAAGTATATTTGTCCAATGGGTTTTGAGGTTTCACGTTGCCTAGTTCCACCCGTTGATAATCGATAATTCAATGAAGATAGTCATTATAGGGGCCATCATATTTGCTAGTGATGTTGTACTTTGACCCAGAGACCAAACCTGATGGTCAGTCCAACAAACCCCACCACCACTTCTACGACAAACCCAAGGTTACAAGTCGTTTTCAGAAGGCTCGTTATTCCGAAATTTCCATTTCTTTAATGAAAATGCGTTCATATCTTCGAAAATGATTTCGGGTTTTAATTCTGAAAAGAACAATAGAAACAACATTGTACAGGTTTATACTTTCGGAAAAGAAAAAGACTCTTTAACAAAAATAATTTTGGGACATACGAAGGAGTTATGAATTTATAATCGTTGGACAAACACACCATATTTAATTTTCGGAATTATGGAGCCCTGGTATCGATGGTATGAGGAATATGTGTTTTGAAATAACGAACAATCCGCTAGTTGTTCTCAATAATCATAACATTTGATTTTATCCGCTCTTTCGCCATTCTATCTTATTCTTCATTTCATATCCGTTTGTCATGAAAGTCATTAAAAAGGTGTCTTTCTTGATCTTTGCCGTGTCTCCCCCCTCTCCCACAAGAACCAACGATAACACCCTCTCTAACACACATAAAAAAAACCTCCCATACCCCAACATTCAAACACAACACGCGCACACACACGTACGCACTCACATATTTCCACAGCCGATCGTCGCGCCCATGAATTTCTCGACATGATCCATGTAAAGGAACTTAAAAACAAACTATATCTGGGAAAGTCGATGCCTGTACACAAGGTTATTATGTGTAAAATAAAGTCTTTCAAAACAAATCTCGATACTTCATGTAGAAAACAAGTATATTTATTTAGAATATCCTTTTGATTATGCACCCATGAAAACGTATGGCATAATGCATTTGAGAAGCATTCACTATTTATCTTAAAGCGACATTATGCGTTCAAAGACTATAAACAAATTATACGGTTAGTCAAGTAAAATATACACATTTATCTCATAGCAAAAGAAAAACAAGAAATCCCTTTAGGTCTTTTTAATATAATACCATTTTTAACTAGACAAACCACACCAAAAAATACAATTTGCGCAAATATTTAACAGACGCTAAAATGGTGTTACCTGAAAAGTAAAAAATTAATTAGCAAAGCGACAATGTTCGAACTGGGACTCCAAGTTTGGTATGTTTAGTTTAAGTAGGCTTATACATGTTTAGCTAAGTTATAAATGGCAATATAGCTCAGATAAAATAAGTAACTAAAAAGTCAAAATATGTCAACACGATTCTATAATGGAGTGAGGAAAATATACAGATATAATGGTAAGATACATTATTTTACAATTTGCAGTTTAGCTATGCAACGCATCTTATAAAATACTTTGTGTACTTGTTTAAATTTTGCCGAATAATATTTGTCGATTCTTTATTCATCATTGAGAAACACATTGACTTATTTAAAAAGGATGGTTTACTCCCGGGTTTACTTTTTTAAATAGGACCTGAAATAATATTCACGTGTGCAGAATTCCATTCTGAACCAACGACTATGCGTAGAAAAAAAAAACTTACAATAAGCCTAATGAAACAAAGCAACAGACAAAAATGAAAGGTATTATTACAACTCAAACTCGAATTCGATACCGCTGCCGTCCATTTCATGTGTGTAGACCTTATCAAAATATTCATTCTCAGCCACGGTGAAATTGTCCTTCCAACTGCCAACTTTTCCTGCAAAAGATTGATGAAATATTAAATAAAAAAGTTTAGTTATTTTAAAATTTAAGATAAGTGTTGATCGTTCTTACTGTCTTTACACGTAGGCGATTTTTAAATGTCATCGTAGGAATATGATACGAAGAGGATTGATACTAAAAATAAGCAAAGTTGTTTAAGGCTTTTGTTTAAGCATGTGTGGAGTCCCAGAAAATCATATATTTGTAGCGTTCTTTTGTGGTTTATGATTTCCAAATTCCTAAATTTGGCATAGGTCGTATATAAAAATGATATTGAAGCGTGGTGATTATATGTCATTCTAAAAAAATTGAACGTACAATTAGGAAATTGTCGATTTTGTGGACTGTCGCTTCTGTGAACTTTTTATCAACTTTTTTTTTTTACTCTGAGAGGCTTGAGAGATCAAACATTATGTTTCGTTTACAGCAAGTGAGAAGTACAAACAATTCAAGTTCATCGAGTTTTACCTTTCCTGAGGTAGGGCAGCTGTCCAAAGAGTCTTGTGATTGACTTGCCCGTGTCTCCCATTTTGTCTTCGATTTGTTGGTAGGTTTTCTGCATGCCTTTCATTTCGGTCAGCTCGACAATCTTATCCAGCTGTTCATCTGATAGAGAGCGCTCCAGAAAATCTGCCACTCGTTTGATGCTGCCTTTCAGATCCTGTTACGAATACATCAAAATCTATATCAGTGCAGGGGCGGATCTACGGGAGGGGGTTAGGGGGCGAAATGATTTTTTTTTTTGGAGTGCTTTCTTTCCCCTCCCCCCGAAATATTGGCCGGCACTTTTTTCAATTTTCGGGGGGGGGGGGCAAAATGAAGGGAAAAAAGTAGTGCTCACTACTCAATTGCCCTGTATGCTAATTCCATACCTCTAATGGTGTCTTCAAAAAATATAAATAACTGCACTGGTTCATTGATCACGTCTTCTTTAATTGTATAACTCTTTATTTGACACACAAATATTATAAATGTACCACATAATATATATCATGGGAAATGAAATAACAACGGGTTTGATATAATATAACTGTTACCGGCCTTGAGTTCTCTACGAGAAACTTGGAAATTGGGATTAATGCCTTACCAGAGGACACTAGTGCAACGACTTGGTTTCAAACCCGACACCTCCCGATTACGAGACACTGCTCCACCACGAAGCCATCGTGCCTCTTGATGTGGCTACCCTGGTAAAATATCACTCATTTTGCATTCATAATCTCGTACCAAATTTCTTACCTTATGGAAGTCTTCGTATTCACAAAAGAGGATGTTAGCATCAATAATTTATACTCCCGTACCAAAGTTCTTACCTTATAGAAGCCTCCGTATTTACAAAAGAGGATTATTGGATCTATAATCTATACTCTCGTACCGAATTTCTCACCGTATGGAAGTCTTCATATTTACAAAAGAGGATGTTATACTCTCGTACCAAATTTCTTACCTTATGGAAGTCTTCGTATTGACAGAGGAGGAGGTTAGGATCATCTTTGCGAGCGAACCAACCTTTGACATGACGGAACCAACTTCCACCAAACACTGAAACAGAAAAACGCCAAAAGATGGTTCAGTGTTCTCACATAATAATAGTAGTATTACTTATAATGATAGTTAACACTGATCATGATAAATGATCAATCAAACAACTTCTTCCTGATTTAGGTTTTAAATAATGATATTATTTCTAACAATCAGAATCATAGTGCATTTAAGCCTTCTAATCACAAGCCGGCTTTAATCATATACAATCGCTCTACTGGTCTATGACGTCATTACGATTTTGAGTCGATTTAGCTTTCCCTCTGTTAATGAAGCTTGTAATCCAATGTAGTTGAGGTTTAACCAATCCTTTGACCATGCAGATCCTTCAACGTTTAGTCTTTACAAGTTTGGATTTTCACATGTAACGCTTTTGCAAATGTTTCAACTTCGGCTCGTACTCAGATCTTATAGTGATCGGGGCCGGGCTTTAATAAAATGTTGAGGATATAAAGCCGACAGAAGCGCAGTTTTCCCTTTATATCATCGGAAGCGGAGCCACGATATCGGTGATTGGCTGTCCTGTTAAAAACTCTAATTCATGGAAGTTTAAGGAGAGGGAAGCGTTTCCACATGGTGTGAATATATACTTATGACCCAGTTTACCCGATCCTGTATGTTTGTGCGTTTGCAGCCATCAGACGATTTTTGTTGTACTTACTTTTGTCAGAGAGAAAGTAGGGTACAAATCCTTTCCATCCTTCCATTTCAACGGGGAGGGCGGGACCCACAAACTTGAAATACGAAACGGATACATCCTTCGGGTTCCGTGAAAAATAGATGACCTGGTCAGAGAAGTAGGACAAACTAATATTTTTTAATTCACACAAATGAATTCGATAGAAATACGAAGAAGAAAAAAATATACAAGACAGTCACAAAAGAAAAACGTAACATTTTGTTGACAACATCCAGTCCACAATGCGTCTTTTTTGCAGATGACGAATAACCCACTTCAAGGAGGCTGCAATACCCTCTATCAGAATGATGCAACCCCTGTAGGTTCTCACATCATATAACCTTACTAGCTTGGTGTTTACTTGCACGGGACTTAGCATATTTTACTGTAAATTAACAAGAGCTTTGTTACGATGACGATAACTATATGAAAGCGTTAATATTTGGCAGGGGTTTCCGTTATTTAATAATGTACCTTTGATTTCTTCTTGATCTGTTCTGGAGCAAACTCTTCCAGGAGGTGAGAGGCCATGACACGAGGTGATTCCCACTTGGTCATCGCCTCATGACCCGGCGTGACCGTTGCGAGGCCGTCGACGTTGTGGGTCAAGGCGAGATCCAAAGCGAAGACCATATGGGTTCGGTCAATCTTCTCGATTTGGACGTCGTTCATTATGAGGGAAACGATCTCGAAGATCCAATGCGTCCCTACATGTTTGCAATAAAAAAATGAGAGAATACATAGTTTTAAAAAAAATTCAGTAATGCCAAATTCACACGAGGGCTTTTCAAATTTCAAGTCGACTTAGTAAACTGCGACATTGTGGCGTCATTCTGACGATCAGCATATGCCGCCATGTCCACTACCAAATCGAAAAGCGTGTCTACCTCGATTCACTATGAACATGACAAAGAAAGCGGACAAAATATACAGTCCCTCAGTTAGACAAAGGAACATCCCTTTACTGCTATTATGTAAAAAGGTGAATATGCATGTGACACCTGTTCAACACATTTTTACATAATAGCAGTGAAGGGATGTTCCTTTGTGTACCTGAGGAACTGTATATTTTGTCCGCTTTCTTTGTCGGTCATGTTCATAGTGATTTTGACGCTCACCTCAACCTAGAACGCCGTTCTCTAGTTATGATACCTAGTTAGCTCAGGGAGGTGATAGAGAAGGAGTCGAGACTCGTGTAATTTATTCAAACACATGCGTGAGTTGTAGAGCGTAAGAATGGGATGCGTAACATTCCATTGCGGGGAATCTCGTAGGCCAGGCACCAGTTTCACATTTATGAAATTACCGGCAAAATGTCAGTGTAGATTATTAACTTTTTTAAAACTATTTTCGAATGTTTTAATGTCCCGATATTTAATAATCCATGATTTACGATCTTTGACAACTTTAAGTTTGCTAATGCATGCTTTAGGGTGCTTTTGGTATTTTTGCAATTGGAAAAAAGTATGGAACTACAAAAGTTTGTGTTCGATTGTTCAATTCCATACACATTCAACAATTGATGAGAAATTATTGAAAGGTATTGCGAACATTTGTTGAGATACCATTTTCTAATGTAGGAATTCTAAATTCGGATATTTAATGCGCTCTTTTATATCACCACCTGGTCAACAGTTGCGGAGTAGCGCGTACATTTTCGGCGGCTTGGAGCATGTGGTCAGAGGGGAGCAGCTTGATTCAACTCCTTGTCTTTCACCTCCCTGGTAAGCTGTGCTGGTACGGGATTTTAGCTTCATTTAAAGTGGCACGCGCGGGAGAAATATGCATATTCATGACGAATACATTTCATGTCGGCGTCCTCATGTCAACTAGTGCCGCGAGCGGGCGTTGACTGAAATCGAAATAATTTTAAAGGGAGTGACCAAGGTGTGTGGACTACCTGAGTAAACACGCGCTCTTGATGTATACTGCTTTCTCGTCGACACAATTGAAAAGCCATTATTGGCTGACAATTAAAGTTCAAGTTCAAGTTCAATTTATTTCTCCACAAATGCAAAACATAGGGAGCTACATAAAATAAAGTACATACATACAATACAATAAACAGAACATGTACATCATATATAAAACAACTCCAGTTGGAGCAATGCATGTTTTAAAAAGGAAAACAAAATCAGCAAATGTGGAAGGGTAGTACAAATACAAAATGATTTGTCGAAGACTACCCCCAGTAATACAACAAAAAAATATAGAATTAAAACTTAAAAGTAAATATAAGGTAACTCGCAAGGGTATGAGCATCATGATCATGATGTTCATGCCCCTTGATCCCCATAATATCCTCCTAGGCAGCCCCCCCCCCCCCCCACACTCCGGGAACGCAGGGACCGCACGCGTGTTCCCAAAATCTCCGGCTCGTAACAAAATGATCTACCCATATTGACTTTACACACCGGACTTATACTGAAGGGGGGGGTGCTGGGAACACGCATATGCGTACCCTAAATAACACTGCGTGGGGGGGGGGGTAGGCCGCCAGATCAATGTCCCTTAACTAAGCGCCTTCTTGTTACTACCACCATGAAGACTTAGGCCCGGCCATTTAAATTAAAGTTGATACTCTAAGCAAATAAATGTCCCTTAATTTGTTACCTACGTCAAGTATATGTTATTTTTAAGTTTTTCAATTACTTAGTATATCACAAAAAAATTCTGTCTACTCGAAATCCTCAATTGAAATGTCGAAAATATCCGCCTCTCTTTGCACAGAAAATCAGTCACGGCGCTGGTCTATTATTTATGACCTCACGTCCGGGAAAGAGTATATTCACGTACCCGGATGTTCCATAGCAAACATGTGCAGAGTGATACGATTTTCTGCATATTTTTGTTTCAAAGGCTGAAAAGTCTAATAAATTATAATTCTATGTACAATTCTTTACCTTCCTCTAGTACTTCATAGTATTAATGTCAATTCCCCTTTTAAAAATTATGACATATACATGCCAACGATGTGCTATTAGTCGATATTTTCACCATGTAATTTTTGTTTTGGTGTTGAAATCGGCCCAGGCACGGAGTGAACAGTAGCTGTCTACCCATGCACAGTTCATTACCATACACTACAGCGATCTCCCGATGGTTTCTTCTTCCTTTTTCCCCATGTCTTTCGCCTTCCTTGGCCCTGAAGATCCTTCATCTACCAATTCTGACACCGGTAGTCAGGAGCAAGTCTTTGTTAGTTGTTTTTCTTAGCTGGCAACGTCGCTTTCATTCTCTTGCAATTGCCGATAAACATATAACTAGCGCACGTACGTTCCATCACAAGCAAGCAGCGCCTAGAGCAGCGGCTTGGTCTTACCTCCCGATTCTGCTCGCTTCACGAACGTTCATGCAAGAGCCGCGTCACTCGCCAAAATATTATAGAGGAAGCGCGCTTGCATGATCTCGTTCAAGTTTGATATTTTACAACATAAAAATGTTTAACTGGTACTGTATCCTTTTTTGAGGCAGTCACACACATCTATGATAAGTACTATCATAGTTCTAGACCTATTCGTTTTACAAAACTGCTCCTGTACCTTATCTGATGACAATATAATGCATCCGCCTATTCATACGTGCACGATTTAACTTTAATTCCTAAGCTGTAAACTCGTCTTAAATCTCTACCAAATAGGTGAATATGAGGATATAAAAACAAATCAGCGACTGGAAAATGTTGCTTCGTTATTCTTCATTCAAATGAAAACAGAAAATCCATCAAATATACTCCTTAACAACAACAAATCTAAGCTCTGACAGGATAGCATTTACGTAGGGATATCACTGCCATTCACTCTTACTTAGCCCACGACTCCCGTTCGTGACGTCACGGATAGAGGCCCGACTCTACGTGCACTTCCGGGTTTCAGACTTAGATATTTTGGTAGAGTTTACTCGAATAAATTCATTATTCTAAACTTGTTTTGTCGGGTGGACACCATTTGGTGTTATTATGGGGGTTAAAAGCTTTCTATTTATGTAATTATCTCAGTATTTGGGATCGTCTTAGAGTATCAGCTTTAAACCAAACGAAACAGACATGTGCTTCAATATTTCGGACACGTGGTTTTCGGACTCTCTGAAATCATTCATGCATGATTCGTTGATCATAACTTGTTGTTTTGTGGAAGTAGAGAGCGTGAGCTTTGTAATTATGTATGCATTAATGAAAACAATTGATTTATTGATTACATTCCTAAACTTTGGTTTCCTTTTTTCCAGGGACACCCTGTACACCTCATTTGGAATAATAATGATAATGATAATGATAATCTTTTAAAGTCCACTCCAAATGTTTGCCCAATTGAATAGGTGACAATGTACGACGAAAAACTACAAATTTGTTTTAATTGGTCAAATAATGGACCCACTACAAAGTCCATGGTCTAATACATGTCATTGGCCGGATTTCTAGGGGAAAGGTTCGCGGTCGGAAGCTATAGTTAAAATCGGGTTACAAAGTAACTTTAAACAAGCAATGCTATCGTGGTAAGATTGTGATATACCACCATTGTTAATCGTTGACCCTCAAATCAAGAAGATAACAAAAATATAAACAAACCACCAGCTAAGCTGCTTTAACAAGCACATTTTTCAGTAGCAGTGTTTAAAATCATAAATCCATAACTACCTATTACAATGAATAATAATAGTAACTTGAATAATGATAAATATGACAATAATGATACTAATAATAGTAATAATCCACCTACTGCTACTACTTCAACTACTAATAATAATAGTGATAATAATACTATTGATAGTGATGAGACATGTAATTCACAAGATTTGTGAGGCGTTAAAAGGTTACTAAATTGCAAATTCATGTTGACTTTTGTTGATCTGTAATATTTAGTACATCCCATATCTTTTGACTTTTTGATGTTCCATTATGTCATGTATTTTTATATTTTGTTACTTTTGTTCTACCTGCTAAACTCCACCCCTAAACAGAAAACTCTCCAAAGCAAATTATTTTTGTGACATCATGCCAGTCATTCATCAGTCAGCTAGATGAACAAAAGACATTAGTAGAATATGTCCTTTCCAATCAACTGACCATCTGTTCACAATATAGCATTGCGTGTTTTTATACAGTGCCCACTCACAAAATTCAATTATATTTCAGAAGTTGCTATGTCGGAAATTCCCTAGCAACACGATGAAAAGAAGGGTTGTAATGTGCTATCATATGAAAACATGCAATGCTAATGCAATAAGTTCATTGTTTTTTTAAAGTCATCTTTAGCAGCCCCGCCTACTTCCTTTTTTGGGGCCGCTCCCTTTTATTTTTTTTAAGTGAAGCTTATTTTTACACTCTGAGAAAAAGGGTGCAAAATAAGAGTTTGCACCCTTTACATAAAAATGAACCCCATTGAAGGAAAAGGGGTTCAAAAAAGGGTGCAATATAAGATTTTGCACCCTTCCCACAAAAATGAACCCTATCGACCGAAAAAGGGTGCAAAATAAAAGTTTGCATATGCATGCATATTCATTATTACTTTCCACGTGTTTACATAAAAATACCTTTATCATGATTTGTTGAGCAAATTGTGACAATGCACATCAATTTTGTGATTTGTATTTTCCTTTGGCAATCATTAACCAATAGATTATTTTGTCTGATCATGTTACAATTACACTTACGTTTAAGCAATAGATATATTGATTATATGATTACTAACCAAGAAACATCATGCATGTTTAATATATATTTGTGTACGAGCAAATTTTACCACCATTCCTCGATGATTGGTGCAGGATTGCACGTTTTAAAGGGTGCAGGATTGAACCCCTAAAGGTGCTGCTATTGCATCGGTTTGCACCCCTAATGGAGCAGGATTGAACCATTGACGGTGCAATCTGGCGCCCTCCTAAAGGGTGCAGGATTGAACCCATTAAGGTGCTGCTAGTGTTGCATCAGTTTGCACCCCTAAAGGTGCAGGAATGAACCATAAAGGGTACTATTTCCCCTAAAAGGTTCAATCTGGCACCCTTTTGAAGGGTACAGGATTGCACCTTTAAAAAGGGTGCAGGATTTAACCCCTAAAGGTGCTGCTATTGTTGTACCAGTTTGCACCCCTAAAGGTGCATACTTGCACCATTTTTCTTAGTGTGTACTATCATTTTTTTTTAAATATCTGATTTAAACCACACACGAAAAAAGTGCCGGCGGCCCCATTGTGAAAAATAGCCCGACCGTCAGGGAAAATTTATCGAGCGGTTTGAAAAAATATGAAATATAAAAAAATGCGTACGCTAAACATGTTTTGGGGGCCTTAGGTTCTCAGTGGGTGAGGACAAACCACTCTCTATTATTCTTAATTTATCCGTCGACTGTTTTAAGGGACAGCGCATTGTGACCTCCGGAAAGGTGTTTAACAAATCCAATTATTGTTGTTATTATTATTTATTATTATTATTATTATCATCAATTTTATTATTAAGCTACGACATCCCTTTCTGCCCCACCCCGGCCCCCCTTTCGTCTCCCAACTAATGGTGAGGTCATTTTACTTGTAGGACTTCCTACACTGATTAGGCTAGGCTATAGTAATTTTGGTAATTATAAAATGAAGACATCTTGAATATTCTTACCAGATTTTGGATAGGTAACAATATACACATCATCGGGCCTTGTTTCCCAGTTCTGTAGTGCCTCGTATATTGCTGGTTGCTGCATAGCAGATAGGGTTACGCCCTTGTATTCGTGCGTCTGATTGAAGACGTCAATCGCCCCACCTTCCGCAGTCGATGCTTTGCTGCTATCCGTTGCCGCCATTTTCTGATACCTACTACAGTTCTATATACTAAATTACAGAATAATCGTGCGATATGTTCTTTCCCGAGTGGTGTTTCGGCAGTAAAATGGCATCACCTGTTGTGGTATGTAATTTTTTAAGGCTAACCCTCTAACGAGATACCGCGAATAAACATCGAACGTCGCATAATAAGCGGGTAGTCTACTTTTCAAAGACCAACCTTGCACGTTTTACGACTGAAAACAGCTACGGAGTGGAGGATTTGAAGCCTCTGACGATCATTTTGATTCTATTTTCAATCAAATTTCCGTACTTTTAATGTGGTCGCAGGCCAAATGGTTGGAACTCAATCTATTCAGAGGCAGTTATCAAAGCAGTAACGTATCTGCCTGAATACAAAGACTAATGCTGATAACAACAATCTTGTTTACCATTACATAACAAGTTCGATGGTGTAAATACTCAGTCAACCGGTAAGACCTACCCGAAATTGCATATTGTGCCCAAGTATGACAACAATTTAAAATACATTGTAAGTTAAAAGAGACGGAATGAAAGAAACTTAGAAAGAAATTAGAAAAACCTTTGCACCCATATTTGGTCACCAGCCGATCAAAAGTCCAGGAGAATATAGTTGTCCATACTAGCGTACGAAACGGGGTGAAGAGGGGGGGGGGCACAGAGGAGGTGGGCAGCAGCCCTAGACAGGTATTGAAAATATCAGAATAGATCTTGCTATCCTATAGTTTTATAGCTCTTATTTCGTATTTTCAAAAGCAAGAATATATTGCTAATTTGACTCACTAAAGTGATCTTAATGAAATAGACTGTAAAGGTAATCGTTTCCGGTCTCCGTGCTTCTAAATTCACAAAGAAGTATAAAAAGCCAACTTGACCAATATCTGGCCGAATAACCCTCGCCTTATCAGTTCATTCCTTTCAAGTGGGTCTTTTGTCCATCTTACCCGGGTCCTACTTCAGTTTTAGCCCTCTTCAGGTTAATGGTGGTTTTATTGTTTGTTTCAGTTCTTCAACGGTTAGACAAAGTCATTCTAACTCAAAAGCAATATTGACGTTATTTGGAGGTATCTTCAGCAGATTAGAGTGGGCCAGAATTAGACACGGTCAGTTAATTTTAGGTGTTTACTTGACAAAAATAGACACAACTTATCACGTTATCATATACGTGGTATACTTTGCGGCTTGCTAATAGCTAATCACGACAAGAATTGCTGCCGGTCAGTGGATTGTGCTACGTGATGATAGTAATGTAAATAGCAGTGTTGATGGTAGTAATCATTAGCAACGATAATAACGATGAGAATAACCTAATTAAAACAAAAAGATACCCACATGTATATATAGCTCATAATATGTTTCTATATAAAGGCCAAATCCACTCCAATTTTCAAAAGTTATAGCATGTTGTAAATAGATCAAAGGTTAAAACTGCCAAATATCACGGGCGAATTTCAATCACTCATTTTGGCGAGCGATTTTTGTTTCAGTTATTTCGAGCAAAACATTTAGATTTGATCGGAAGCGTGCGCCGCGCCAGCGGTATACATTCTGACAATTCAAGATGCCAATGTGCCAAGCTTATGGTAGTCTAGTTGTGGATCCTTTAATGGATTTTTTTATTCGCCTACTAGTACAAGTCCACTCCAAAAATAACTTACGTTCCGAGAACCAGACAAATCCGACAAAGTAATCAAAAAAAGTTTGAGCAAAATCGGATAACTAATAAGAAAGTTATGAATTTTTGAGAAAGTATGTAAAACTATGAAACAATGAATTTGACTACATAAATTGCCACTTCAGTTATCAGTTTGTGACGCCATGTCCTCACTACTTATCAATTGCTTTATATAGTTTAATTCCATTAATTTCCATTTTTATCCCCCAAAACTTGATTTCCCCAAGCTTTTGCCCGGGTTATATTTTTTATCATATTGCGTGCATGACATTTCCCAAATTCTGTTATGAACTTTGAAGAATTGATACTATTTTCTGGATATTGTCTATTCATAATTATTGATTTTTATATAAATAGTTAATCAAAATTCACATTTTTCATGATTTGACTGGAAACAAATTACTCTATATTAGTGCATCCACACGAAAACATATTACTATCAATTGAACTTGGATGCTGGTGAGGAGAAAAAAAATTCTCAGGGGGGAATTGGAAATTTATATCATCAATTTAAAGAAAACAGTTAGTAGATAATGAGGACATGACGTCAGAGAATCACGAGTGAGTTTCCAATTTGTCTAGTGGTTTTCAAAGTTGTTCATGTCATTCAAAATCCATTACTTTCTTATTAGTTATCCGATTTTTCTCAATCTTTTTTTGATTGGTTTGTCTGATTTTGTTTGCTTCTATTAAAAGTGATTTATTTTTGGAGTGGACTCCCAATTTAAACCGAGTGATGGCGCCATTCTTAGTGACGGCGCGATCCCGAGAATTATCGGAGCGGTTCTCGGGATCGCGCCATCACTCGGCTTAACGCTTATAGTTGGCGAATAAAAAAAAATCAACAAAATGGTCCAGAACTAGACTAGGCTTATAGTTGTTCGAATCGGCCAGATGGCTTTAAGAATTAAAAGTTTCTTTGCCATCCCAAACCATTTGAAAGACAGAGAGATATGTTCCCTATGGCGAAACAATATTGGCCCGACAACAAAATACTCCCCTCAATCACGTCACCCACTTTGCTCACTCTCACACACAAATATACACTCTCACACACGCCCACATCAGGTAATTCCAGGGTTGTATTCAATAGCTTCTTACTAGATGCAGGGGTAAACTATGTGTCTGTAATATGATAGCCCATAAACGATATTGACATGTGTGGTAGGTACTAACTCCATGGAATCGAAAGACAAATTATTTTGCCAGAAGAGGTCTCGTAGTCACGGTAGTCACGTGGTTTAACACTTGACTGGAGATGCGAAGGTCATGGGTTCGATCGCGGCATGACACGTATTACCGTACCCAAGGTATTAAATTGCTTATCTCCACCCATGTATTATAGGGGTACCCGGTAGGATGTCATTGTAGTTTGATCAGCAATGTGAGCGTAATGTGAGACGGCGCCTCGTTGAAATGCTAACCAGAGTTTAATAACGTCTCGAAATATTCTCGAAACTCGATCATTATTCTGTGATTACTTTTCGTTTTGTGTATAATATTTGTCATTATTTGTTTGTGGAAATATAGGTTTGTTCCATATTTTTTTTCTCGATGATATTGTGTAATCTTTTTTTAACAATGTGCATGGACTCGCTGAAGGAAGTCTGTTTTTGACTAATACCCCTTTCATACTGGCCTGATTTTTATCGGATGCAATCGCATATAGAGGAGAAACATCCGATAGAATAGCCGATGAAAAGAAAAGAAATAGGCAATAATCAAGAGAAATTATTTTTCTATCGGTGTGACTCCGATGCCACGGCCACTATGAAAAGGTTCGGGTGAAAACGCCGATGAAAATGGTCAAAGGTTGTTATATTGTTCCGGCTAAAGCTAGTTTACAATATTGTTTTCCTTCGGAACCCGGCTGGCTAGCAGCTAGCTGTGTTTGTTGAAATTTTGTTGAACATACTGCTATCTAGATGCTGCTAGCTAGATGGGGCGCGGCCTTAAATTGACTCGTTTTATTTGTATTTTACATTAATGATAAGCTTTGTAAAAATCTAGATTAATATATATCGTGATGATAATATATTTATTGACAATTATATATATATATATATATACACACCAAATGTTGAAAAAAAAACAATGTTACAATCTGATCACTAACTGCACTGTCTGTCGAATCCAAAATCAAAGCGCGCCAGAAGCTAACAACGATTGCGCAATAAATCTTCACTTCCGGCCAGGGCTCACCACAGGAAGTGAATTTCACCGGCAGTATGAAAGGGACAGCAGGGAAACCGGCGGTTTCACCTTTGTTTACACATGGCCAAATCTATCGTTTTTTTTCATCGGTGTGACTCCGATAGAAGCAGAGTGTGAGTTTTTACAAGGATGAAATAAATACGATACCTAACGGGACAATATAATGTTCATACATTGTGGGCGGGCAAGCCTGAATCCAGTAACCGAGGTAGTAATGTTTCTAGAAAGCACCTAGACACATTAATAAATATTCATTTACCCACCACATTATTATCGTCATATTTTGAAGAAGTGATGTTTATCATTAACATATTTTGTAACTACAGCAACAATTAGGATTATATTAAACAAAACATGAATCAATACGCCTACAGGCCACGACCTTAATGTCACATTCCTCAGGAACATTAATGGTTAGGTTTTCATCAACATTTTAGGTTCCATTAATTAACTATTTGAATGCCCACTTATGTTTGCGTCGTGTGCATATTTCATTTCTTAGTATCAACTCTTATGTTAACAATACAACTCGGGTTCAAGAAAAAAAAACAGCCAGAAATATTCAAATCACGCATCCATTAATTTACTTGATGATCTTGATGATCTACAGTAATTAAAATGTCGTGGTTAGGAATGTCTGAAAAACAAATGACGTAGCATGAACATTATAAAACAAGTCACAAACTCTGGCAAAATCCGACGTACCAGACTAAAGTCATTTATAACCAATGAGTCGCATGCGTTTGGGTGTACTAGAAGTTGAAATCTGTATCACACGGTTGACTATTTCTCCTTATCATTTGCGACCTGAGCATCCAGAATGGGATCAACTTCGAGGAAAATTCGTGTGCAACCTCTCGTCTTCATGTCAATCAGCATCATCCTACTGTTCGTAATCCCTTCATCTGTAAGTATTGTTTTCCATCATTATAAAAAATGTACGTTTTGTTTAATAAAGAAAGTGGTTCATTCGATACTATGTCTTAGCATAATGATTCATTCATTTCACTTCAAATGTGTTGATTGAGGCTTCAAATTCCAACACGCCCTGTAAGTCTTTTGGCAAGAGATTAACCCAATTTGCCACTCTCCACCCAGGTGTAAATGTGTTCCTATAGTAATTGCTATTATGAGAATAATTGAAGGAACCTCTGAACGAACAGCACTGAATGGTGATTGGGATTGTATGGGTAGCAATACTTATCATCATCAGTATCATCTTTATCGACATCGTCATCCTCCTCTTCATCATCAGTGAGCAATCCGTTAATATTCTTTA